ATCCACTAACTCCAATACTTTCAATAACCCAACTACTGACAAACTCCCTGAATCTAAGTGGATAAGCACCCACACAAACGAAAATAAAATTCTCGTGGGATGTATATACAGACCCCCTAATAGCCCTGAAATGACTGATATAGCTATTGGAGAAATACTAGAGAATGCAGCTATGCTGGACTTTGACTACAAAGTAGTCTGTGGCGATTTCAACTTACCTGGAGTAAACTGGGATACATGTACAGGACCTAGAATCCATGACCAGCTACTACAAGCTATAGACGTAGGCGGATGGAAGCAGTGCGTACGCCCCCCTACAAGAAATAAAAACACTCTTGACTTAATCCTTTGTCATGAAATTGACCCCATCTCGATAGAGGTAGGAAATAAACTTGATAACAGTGATCACAACATATTGTACTGCACGCTACCATTCCGACTAACAACTAAACACACACCTAAAAATTCCCCGGTGCACTATCAGTATAGGGACTATAAGAATGCCGATTGGGAATTCTTATCAGATCTGCTGAGAATTCCTGACTGGGAAGAATACCTCATTAACAATAACTTAGAAGTATCACTCGATATTTTCTACAAAACAATTGGCTCAGCAAGAGACATAATCGCGCCCCTAAAATCTGCTCTAAAGACACCAACTCCATTTATAGACCGCAAAACGCGACTAAAACTAAAGAAATTGAAAAGGAAATACCATGTATTTAAGGAATTTAATGCGTTAAACCAAATACATGAAACTCTTAAACGGCTCGAAGATAAACACAAAATGATGTCACAACTTGAAGAAAATAAAGCGCTTGTGGGTAACTCCAAAACTCAGGAACTTTGTAGGATATTGCAGAGACGTCTAAAAAGCAGTAAAGACAATACTGTAAGCAGCTTGGAGCATAAGGGTATAATATACAATGATCCCCAGGTTATAAGTGAACTCCTCAATGAGTGGTTTTGCAATGACGCCAGAGTGCACCCGACCCCAAATTTCCAAATGACCTGCAAAAGCAACCACAAATTAGGCGGAATAGACTTTAATATACAAAATATAGACTCAGCGATTAAGACTTTGAAGTCTAATGGTAGTACTGGAACAGATGACATACCATCTGTCATGTACAAAAATGGTAGCACGGAAATGGTAGTCTTGTTACTTAGAATGTTTACTCTCTCGTTGGAAACTGGAACTTATCCTGAAGTGTGGAAAACCACATACATATTACCTAAGCACAAATCAGGGGCCAAAACCAGTGCATGCAACTATAGACCTATCAATATAACACCGGTAATATCCCGAATAATGGAGAAAGTGGTTAAAGACCAAGTGTCAGACAACTTACAAGAACACGAACTTATCAATCCATCACAACACGGATTTCTCAAAAAGAGATCATGTGTGACCTGTCACATGGACTTTTTCAATGAAGTTACACGAAGTAAGGACAACAGAGAACTAGTAATTGTGCTATATTTCGATATAACAAAAGCCTTCGACAGAGTTCCCCATAATCTGCTAGTCAGCAGGTTATGCTCACTAGGGGTATGTGACCCTCTCCTGAGCTGGATAAAATCGTTTCTCTGTGGCCGAAGTCAGACAACGAAAGCTGGCTCGATAATCTCAAGGCCTAAACCAGTAAGTAGTGGTGTAATCCAGGGAAGTGTATTAGGCCCACTCTTATTCATAATATATATAAACAGTATCTGTGAATGCTTTAGTGTAGGTAAACCAATACTATATGCAGATGACTTAAAAGTGACGTATAAATGCAAGAACACAGATCTTGGAATAACAGTAAACGCCATACAGCAAGAATTAGAAAAAATGGATAGATGGTGTGAAACCTGGCAACTCCAATTTAATGTCGAAAAATGTGGCTGGCTCTGCATAGGTTGCAACAATTTAGAACTTGACCTGAAAATTCAAGGCCATGCACTTCAACGACTGGAATCTGTACTGGACCTAGGGCTGAAATATTCACATAATTTATCATTTTCTGAACATATCTCCAAACAAGTGTCAAAGTCACGCAGACTTATCGGCTTTCTACTCAGGAACTTCTACAGAAATGAGTCTAGAATTCTGTTATACAAGGTTTGTGTGCGTCCTTTATTTGATTACTGTTCATTCATGTATAGTAGCATACGCATAGAGGACAAATTGAAAGTTGAGGGAGTGCAGAGGTACTTCACGTTAAAATTACTCGGAACTGAAAATGGTACGAACTACTCCACTATATGTGATACCCTAGGACTAGAAACACTATGGCTAAGACGCCTGAGACTAAACTTGACACTTTATTATAAGCTACTAAACCACTTAGTTTTTACCTCTACTGATGGCACTCGACTTTCAGATGACAATGGCTACAAACTAAGACACACTAAGGATACAGTAGCTATCGAACAATGTAAAACAGCCACCAGGCAAAAGTTTTACTTGATTGGGTGTGCACAGATATGGAATAAACTACCAATGGAAATGCGTCAAGCAAGTACATTGGCCTCCTTCAAAAAGGTGCTTAATGACAAACTACAAGAGTTTGCAAACGATAGTAGTTCTAGTTCCTATCTGAGAGCCTCCGAAATTATAGGTCCATTTAATGTATAAGCTTAAATACTACTCCTGTTGTTTTTTGCCTATATTTATAATTCTAGATAAAACATTAACGGTCAAGATACCTATCCTCAAACAGACAAGAAATCTCGTTTGTAAAACTACTACCCAACGCAACAAGTGGAATAAAATGAACATAAACCGACAACATGAAAAAGGTATAACTCACCACAACATCACATGGACAGATGAACGCTCGTTGGGCACCATATATCCCTCACCAACTGCAACCCACCTTTTCTTAGATAATGTGATGAACTTATATCCATAATGTTGCTGAGCAGTTAATATTCTCAACTCCTGTCGGAACAGCTGAAATTCATAAACCTTCCTAACGCTAAGAAAATACCCCTTAAGTACTTACTCCCAACAATGACATTGAAGATCAAATGAGATAAACACATCACTGATTTCAAAATAACACATCAATGAACTATAATTCGAGGACTCTGCACACAACAAAGTTATGTATGAATATTGACTTCAAGCTTTATTTTTTTCCCAGGCACTTATAGTCCATCCACCAAAGACCTGGTTTTTTTGTTAATGCGAAGACAATACTCCTGTATTTCCTGTTGTGTTGCACTCACTTTGCACAGAAATGATTGTATATAAGTGAAAAGGCTGTTTTATACTACTGAGATTAACATTTATCAAGTGTATGTATAATCTCCAGCGAACGTGTAAAGCATATCTTGCTACTGCCTGTAAATTGTGATTGAATTATATGGTTCTATTTCTGTAACAATTTGATGATGCCTGTAAACTGGCGTCCCTCATGTACTGTACTATGAGAATAAATTTATTTATTTATTTAACAGCTCCAGTTATTGGTCTACTAGTGATTTGATTCCATGTATCCTCCTTTTGATGAGCGAAGACCAAAGTGCAGTCAACTGCAGTGAAAGTGTCACCCCAAATAGGAAGAGTTCCTCCCACTAGCGATGCATGCTGATGGCTGTTAACCACTGCGCTCACTAGTTTCTTTGTACAGCCAGAAGGGGCACAACGATAACCTTTATAAGAACGTAAAACGACTCCACCAATGGCTCTCATGGCAAATGTCGCTCCACAATCACTCAAAATACGTAATGGTCACTAACAAACTCATCCATAGCAGACACTCGTGATGGATTGTATTGAATACAATCACGTTGTGCGCCATAAATACCGGGTTGTTCACAGGCTAACTTCTTTATGCCTCTTGAGCCCCACAGAATTTAAGGCGACAGCTTTCTGTTGCCGTTCAAATGGTATGGGCAAATGGTTCCACCGACAGTTAAAAACCCAGACTACCAGCTGAAGAAACGCCTGATAAACTGCATCACTGGCATTGCCCCGAAACAAGACGTACAGACGCACAGCTAGTGTACAGAGCTGTATTAAGACTTCCAAACAAGTTCATTTTGCCCCGTTTTTGACCATGCCGTAAATGAAGCAGGCCAGATGCGATTCGGTCATGTGAGTCAACTCCAATCACTTCACAGTCTACTGATGACTGAAAACACCCACTTACACATTCGTGTGTTACCACACTTTTCTTAGAATTAGAACGGCTATAGGACAGACAGTGAGGAATTATTATAAATTTGGATAAATTTAATGTGATGGACAAAGATGGGCAATAAGTTCGCTCCAGCACTACCCATCTGAAAATTCGCTCTTGGTATCCAGCCCCACAGTCAACCACCTTGTAGTTTCACACAAGTGGCTGAGTATCAGTAGGTATAAGAATGTCAGCGAAATGCTGCTCAGTTGGAAGCGTCCCGAGAATTCCAAATATCACCTTGAGTGCAATGAGCACTGACATAACATTGGTCATCCAGGTAATCCTTTCTGCAGAATAGTCGGTTACTTTACTGACAAAAAGTGGATAATGCACGGGAAACAAAAAGAAACCTTCCTTGAACTTATGTACATTGAATCCATTAGAATGGTTAAGCGATCGGATGGCTTTCCAATGTTGATTTACACATAAAGGGGAGGGGCGGCAGTTCGTTGATGGCACAACTATTAATCTCCAATTTCTACGATATTTCAGAAGCTCCTTACCACCAGTTTAGCATTACTGAAATTCTGGGAAACTAGAACAAAAAGTAGTCCACTCGAAAAAATACAGTGCCTACTCCAAATATGCTAAAAGATGCTATAATGATGGCATTACGAAAGATAAAATTATCACTTGGTGATGTTGACCAGATTTAGAAAAAAAAGTCTTAAGAAAAAAATCTGCAAAGCATTGATAAACATCAATGAATCATATATAAATACGGAAAAATACATTACGCGAGAAAAGACAATTTTCTGTAAATCTTCTTTTTGTCAAGTTCTTTATTTGAACTGATTAATTTTGAAGACATGACCTACACATCTCAAAGCGCTTTTGTGAATTTTGCGATGCAATATCGCTATCTGCACTCCAATATGAGTGTGCTTTGGCTTAGATGTCTCGTCGTTTTACTCTCCATCAAACTTGCCAACCTGCAGGAGCCATTTGACACAAGATGGGTGTCAAGTGAATGTGTTGATACAAATGGAAGACCACAAATGTGTTATCCTCCATTTACTAGTGCTGCAGCCGACAGGGAAGTTATAGCGACCAACACATGTGGTGAAAAAGGGAGACAGAAATATTGCATACATATGTCAAACTCCGGAATGGCAAGCAGGTGTCAATATTGTGACGCGCGGAACCCAGATGAAAGTCACCCGGCGGAATATATGACTGATAAAAATCCCAACAACTGGTGGCAATCAGAAACTATGGCTGACAACAAACTTCTCCATTTTAAGGATTCTGTAAATTTGACTGTCGATCTTGGTAAGACACCAGAATTTTAGCAAATATGAGTTTATTAACACTTGCTCTTGTCGATTTCAAGCAAACAAAAGTACTTTGTGATTAATCATTCATTCAGATTGAAATTCAGATTGATTGGTTGAGGATAGAAGGCTTGGTGCCTATGTTAATCTTTTTCTAGCAAATTTATATGGTTTTGTAAACCTTTCTTGGATGAGTCAGTTGAGGTTGAAGACATCACTTCTTCTGGGAGTCGGCTTCAATAGTTTATGAATTGGTGTGAGAACCAGTACTCGACAGCAATATGGTTTCTTCTTGGCTTTTGAACTCTCCTGCTATGTACTCTAAGGTGTTCCGATCTGACTGGAAGAAAGAGAGAGAGAGAATTGGTCAGATCCGTAGTTATTATGCTTCATGCCTTCGACACAGCGTTAAAGCCGCTTAACGATTCTTTTCTTCTGCCGTTCACATGCATACATATTTGCACACTAGAAATATAGACAGGAAGCAATGTTGAGGGTCAGGTGATTTTAAAATGCAGTCCAATAGCTAAAATATGGGCTGTAGATTAGTTCCAATAGGAAACATATCTTCTGTTTTAACGCATGGAAAAATTCGCTTAAAGCTATGCAAAACTGCATGATTTTATCGCGCAACACTTCAGAAAAGCTTTAGTGGACTCAGGTTAATTTGATTCTCTGATTTGCACACGTATCAGCTCCAAACTTGCTGGTCATGTTGGAATTCCCACCTAACAGGATAGCCCGTAAGGATTTGTAGCCAGACAAAATACAAGTTTCAGATCCTATAGATACTTTTCTGACTTAAGAGACTTACGTTAAGTGCTCCTAGTCTGAAATTAGGTTAACACATACGCATCAGATGATAGCATACTGAAATCACTAGCCTGTGGTTTCTTAAGCTGCAAACTCCTACGTAAAAACTTTTAAAATTGTTTTCAGAGTCTAATTTTGTGAAGAATTGTTAGATTTTTAATTTAAAAGTCCCTTTTTTCAAACTTCTGGTGCTTTTCTAAAAACTATAGTTTTTTCCGTCATAACCCGATTAAATTCTCACTAGTTATGTTTTTTTGTTGCTTAGTTCTGAGCATAGTGGATATATTTTCTTACACCAATACCCATTTCAACATTTATCTAACTGGCACTATCCATAGTTCATTGCTTGTGTGTTCAGTAACACGTAAATGGATGTTCTGAACTATTGAAATAACCAATTTATGTCTTCTGATCAATATACATTAAGTTATACTAAACAGGATCATTGAGATTGTTTGGAGGCGAATATTTTGTTATCAGAACCCAAACTTCTTTATCCTTTCAGGGTGTAAATTCATTTATCTTCATAGTTTATCAGGCGCCAATAATCGACAGCAGCCGAAATAGCCGGAAGAATAATAATCTTCCTCTATTCTATTGTCCGTAGAAGCTAATTTCAGTCAGACATGTAGCAAAATGTTAAAGCTCTTGCAATTAATGAGCCATTTTTAACTTATTAAGTTAAATGCCTATTTTAGGCGAGAAGTACCGGTTCTTTTTGAGACAAACTTTAGCTAAAACTCCATACAGTCGTCTTTATTAATGCTAACCGTTTGATGTCACTGGTGAAATACGAACAATAAATTCATCATTTTCGTGTTAAACAAGTTGACTTTGTGTTTTATTAAATATTGTTTTAAAATGTCTATTCTTAATAAGTGTCTACTGAGTTTATGGAAGGCTGGTGAATAAATAAACTAGCCAAAATATGAGGTATCGCTAACATTATATTCTTAAGTCAATAGCCACTCTTGTCTCATAAGTAAAGAAATTCTGATTTTCCACTCCTGCTTAAATTCCTGGTATACATTTCCTTATCAAATGCTCCAAAATACCCATAACTTTGTTAAGGCCAGAGTTACTTACATTAATGGACAAAGTCATAATTTTCTATCTACATCAGTGTAGTGCTTTGCTGGTCTATTGGTAAAATACTTGCCAACCACACATGTTGGCCAGCATTAGATCCCGGCCAAAGTACTCCTAAACCTCTCTTGGACGGTAGTAGGTCCTGTAGAGAGAGAAGGTTGGGAGTAATTAAAATGGACACTCCTGTTGATCAGACTCCATACCTCAAGCCCAGAGCCCTGTGTCCCACTAGGAACGCGAAGGAAGGAAATGAACCAAGAAACAGGACATAAATTCCATTACTCTCACTTATCTGTCCCTGCCTTTTAAGTAGAGAAGGAGTAAACTAAAAATGTACTGACTTATCGAGGGTCAATTATATCAGTCACTTAACCGTCAAATGCCTGTTTATTGGAGTTTTGAAGAGGAGTATTGATTTTGTAAGTTAGAAATGATAAAGAAGACTAAGTCACTAACTTCAAAGTATTTACAGTGGATCAGACTAATTTATTTGTTTTTATCCTTTCATTTCACACCGCAATAACATGTAGAGTTGACTTTGTTCGTTTATCCAAACATACGAATGACCTAAAAACGTCTAAGGTAGTTTTTCAACGTTCGAAACTTGCATGTTATCAGGACAGAACTGTAATGAAACGGTATGCAAGGAGATTATTTGATCATATACAGCTAAGACTATTGATGGCACCAAATGATGCACGAAAATTCTGTTTTAAATTGGAAAATTTTAAAGTTAGATAACTTTCATCCTGTTTTAGCGCCTACCTTGTTCGCTTTCACCTGGAAACAAAAGAACAGCTAAGTATCCCATCTTCATTTAAATATACAGATCTGACACTAACACTTAATGTGAGTGATTACGAAAGGAAAGAAGTGAGATAAAAATCAGTATGTACAATGACTGATTCTAGTGACTTTATCTGGCATTAATTCACAAAAATACTTATCATAGCTGGAGAAATATAAAGAAAAGCGAACATTGATGATTGCACAACTTATTCGTTTCTCGATTTCAAAGTTCATCTGATCTTCCACCTGACAGACTACCTACTTCGAGTCCTGACAACAAAAAGCTCAAAAGTGTATTATTCTTTTTCATTCTTTGGTCATCGTATTAAGCAGATAGTCATACTTATTTCAAAGCATGGAAACAAACTGAACTAGATGAAGAGGTTTTAAACATTTTCACTGGCACGAAGAATCAGTTAAAGAGTAACTAAAATTCTAGGACAGGTGGGTGATTGTTACATCCAGTTATAAGATAGAATAGGACCTAGTTCAGACTTGACGAATTCCATATCATTTAGAGTACCACTTCATTATGGTATTAGAATATGATGGTACTTTGACTCTGAGGTCCATTACCCACCAGCTCTAATCAGTGGTAACTATTTCGTATGATAATTCACTTGTTGTAAAATGTGAGGATCCCAACTTTGGTGCCAGCCAACTGATGCACACAATAGAATAGTTTGAACGGAGAAAAAAACAGCTGTTTAGCGGTTCTTGTCTCTCTATAGTTCTGTAATTAGTGATGATTCATGAGGAAGACTCAAATCGTAGTAGAATCCATAATTATAGTCAGACAGGTACAGCGGCAAAGTTTGTGTAGTCGAAGAAAAACATTTGGCGCGAGGTTGAACAATTTTGAAGATTTACGGCAAAACACGAAGTGGCTGTTTCCAAACATTTACATGTCTTGAGTTGCGTTACTATCAGGCTTCATTAATTATTTTATATCATCAGAAGGATCCCTTAAAGCTGTATTAACTCTTCACTGAAAATTTCACATTACCCTCTCTCTCCTTAGGCATTAATAGTTTTATTAATTTTAACACCACTTTAATTTTACGTCTACATTTTGTTCTGTTTCAGAATGTAAAAGGTTGATATTATGAACTTCTCTGCAAAGGTGTTGGATAATCCGTAATCATGACTCTGTGATTAGATTCTGCAAATGACAACTAAATGACTGACAACTAAATGCACTAACAGTACAATTATATATTATAAGTTGTTTTAGTGAGGTTTGAGTAGAGTGAAGACATAGTCATGGCAGCGTGTTCTTTTTTTTCCTTCACGTTCCCAGTGGGACATTGGGCTTCAAGCTAGGGGCTTGAAGTTTCTGTGGCAGTGTTTATTTTACAGGATGGGGTTGCTAGCCTCATGCCCAACCTTTCCTCCTTACCAGCATTATTTCTGGCTTGGCGAGGTAAAGGAGTGCGTCGGTGGCCGGGGATCGAACCCCGGACCATGTGCATGGTCAGCGAGTGTTCTAACCGCTATACCACCGACGCACAGCATGTTATGCTTTGAGGAATTTCTTTAGGCATTTTCCACGTCAGTATGACACTCAGTTATAGGTATTTATGCCCACCTTAACTACCAACCAAAACAGTGTTTCTTCCAGTGGACTCATAGGGCTAAATCGACTGACACAAAGCCACTAGATACACAACTGTTTATAAATCTTTAATCAATGTCATTGGGTACAAAATTTATACTGCCTAAAAATCTTGAAAGAGTGATTTCAACTGCTCAGATATGTATATACATATATGTATTATAACCATAAATTTTCTTTGCATAAAATTATATTTCAGGTACACAATTTCATGTGAACTACGTCTACTTGCAGTTTAAATCACCACGTCCACACGCAATGGTTATACACAAACGATTTGATGATAATTCGGAATGGACACCATGGGCATACTTCTCGAGCAATTGTTATACATACTTTGGTATGACATACAGTCATATCCCAGTATTCAATAAACCGGATGAACTGATTTGTTATGAAGAATATTCAACATTACAGCCATTGTATGAAGGCGAAGTTATCTTTTCTGTTATAAATGGACGACCAAATTATGATAAGTTTTTCACCGATTTAGAACTACAGGTAAGTTGTTTTAAGCCTAATGAATTTATTCATCAAAGTGTAAAAATTAAAAGTCAGTAATTCGGTTGAAATATTTAAGCTATAAATGCAATAAAATTATCTGATAAGCAGAAGTATATCAGTTTAGGTTGCCATACTTCTGATAAGCACACAAATTACAGGAAAATAACAGCACAACATATATCAAAATAGTAATATGGGTGGGACGAAATGAAAGCTAAGGTTGGTGAAGGTTTTGTGGGCTATGGAAGATAACATGGATTGAAATAATCATCTGCAAGAGTACAAATGACTTTGAGATATGCAGCAGAAAGTGTCCAACAACTGATTCATAGCATTCTAATGATCCCATCGAAGTAGCATTTAAGTACGTATATGAGACACACCAGTATTCGACGTTTTTGCCGGACTACCCTCAAGTTTCCGTATTATAGTATGTAATGGAGGTATTTGTTGGCCAGGAAGGAGACCTGAGTCGATAAATATCATTGCATTCAGCTAGAAGATAACTAGGATTCAGGAAGCAATCTGTGCTGAACTTCTTTGTCTTGTAGTTGGAAATATTTGACAACTGAACCGTCATATATGAAGCTTTTAAGATGTATAACTGCTGATTAATGGAAATGTTTACTATGTTAGGTCTATGATATAGTCTTGGTCAGAAATAATGACCAGACCATCGTGCATAACTCAAATGAATAACAATAAGATATAGTCGCGAGTCACACATAAGAGTAGATCTGGCTGATTTCAGCTATTCTGCTTCTATTTCTTTGAAGTTGGTTTTTTTGTGTCAACAGGATTCTTCAGAGTTCGTCAACAGAATCAGTTAAAAATGGGTAGGATTGGATAATGTTATCTGTATTATCTCACTCATACGTTATTGCAGCCAATATGAAAACGTCATGTTGAATTCCCACCCTATCTGCCTTAGTCTCTGAGATGACGACAATTGCTGTAGGTCTCATGTTATAAATATAGCCCAAAGAGAACCAACAGTAAATGTCTAAAATCTGTACCTTGCAGAATAATTGCAGTCTTAAGAAGAGACCGAATTTGAGTCTTGATACCAGAGCTAAGGGAAACAGTAAAAATTAAACTCACGATTGATATCTTGTATGCCTATGTTGTTTCAAAGAAACCAACATTAAATTTAAGAACCACCAGAATTAAAAGAGGAGACATTATTTCTCGATAGGTTTCAGTTGCGTAAACATCTAAGAACAAGCCTACGTCGATTTCTATGGTACATTAGATTGAAAGAGTCCTAAACTCCATTGGTAGATAGTAATACGATACAGGGAATCAACAAAAGAAGTTAATTGATCCCAATAGATTTTGTCTAATACTTTATTTTCTAGTATATAGGATTCTAGGGAGAAAAGGAAATTCGTGAGCTTAATGTTTCTCACTTTACAATATACTTCCAAATGAAGACACTATCCAAAAACTATAATTTTAAGTGCTAACAAGAAGTGAACGAAAACAAATGTTGAAATAGCATAACTGTCTAAGTATTGAGTTTGATGAAACTGGAAATTAATACTCTTTCTTTAATTGTATAACTAGAACCGTCTTAAAATTCACTGAGATCCCATCGAAGTTTTTAATTAGTGATGCTTGCACAATTTCTCGTTGTCTGTTTTACGTAATCTGATTTTGTTGAGCTCTTTTGGTATGTAAATTCATACAGTAGACACATCTAAAAATGATGCGGTCACCATTCAAATATACGAGACTGATTCTGTTTTATTTGAGACTCATCAGTTGAATGTATCTGCATCCTAGTTAGTAATGAAGGCATTCCTCTATATAAAGTCACACCAAGCATCTCCCATCTCAAGAGAGCATTGTCCAATGGACTAAGGAGTCCAAAATGCTGTCTTATATTGCAAGAATTTATTTATTTAAATAGCTTTTGTTGAATAGTAGTCATTAAATTACTTTCTCTTTAAGAAGATCCTGTTTCATCATAAAAAATAAACTGTTTAAGGTTCACGAGTAGATTTCATTTTCTTAACTGTCATTTTCTATTTGTATATTGGAATGACTATTTAAAATACATTTAATTTGGTTACAGGATTTCATCATGAGCTGACATTGGTTAGAGAACCATTGGAAAACCTGGGAGTACTGAACAGCTGTTTCGTCCTGGTTTGGGACTCTTCATTAGTACGCACCAATCGGGGCGAGCTCATATACCATCAAGCCGCTGGGACCCGATCCAGTGGCCCAGGTTTTCCAATGGTTCTCTAACCAATGTCAGCTCATGATGAAGTCCTGTAACGAATCAAATCTCTACTAACCAACACTTAAACATTTCATTTGCATAAATTTGACAGTGATACTTTTTTCGAATTCATTCAAGAAGGATGATAGCTAGGAAATGTTATTTTTCTCATCGGAGGAAAATACAATTCTAGAAGTAGCATTTTGGTAATAATGATACTCCAGTGGCAAGTGACCTAACTTGATAACTGCATTGCCGACTTCACTGATAAAATTCAGCCAGAACTATGGACTGGGCATATGTCGTTGGTTATCCCACCATTGACTAATCAATGAATTAATTACAGTCCTACAGGCAGTCTGTTGCAGCATGAATAGTCCAGCAATAATGTCTCCAACTTCAACACGAGTTGACACCTGCTAGAATCTCTGGATGGTTATCAGACTGTATGATGACTTTCAACAGGTAGGAAATCTGGGTTTATGGCTTTCTGATGACCACTTAAGATGTGATGTTATATCTCCTTCTCAGTGTTTCAGTAATTTATTGATTAGGCCACAAAGGTAACTGGTAAAATATTGCAACAGGAGCAAATATCATAGTTTGTAAAATTGTGAACACCTCTTAAACTTCACGCGAACAATGAAAAAAAAATACTTTTTCAATAAAGAGTCGTATAAAAAACAAATCAAAGAATCACATCACTCGTCACGAAGCAGATACATCGAGCTGGAGAATCCTGAAAAGGGCCTGGAACAAGCGCTCTGGATTCCATTAATAGCTACTATTTATGAGCAGTATAATCACTGAAAACATTAACATCATAACAATATACATTTTTATAGTTAGTTGAACCTGTTCACATTATGACCACTCATTCACTGTAACAGAATAACTCTTAATTAATTCAGCATACATGAGATCATCATAAATACCTAAAACAGAGTAGTTCATCTTTATAAGGAGTCTTATGGCTGTTGTACAGGAATAATACAGACACCATTATTGAAAGCTAAATGATTAATTTGATGCAACTCAGATTTCATTTATCAGGAAAACTAGTTCATTGTAGTGTTGCTGAAGAGAATTTTCACGTATTACTAATGAATCCTCCCTACTGTATTAATTATCGTGGTGATAACAAGAATGATACTAATATTGCAGTCCAGTCTCCTCGGATAAAGAAAACGGAGACTACAACTGTAATCTAATGAATATTTTGTATCATGTTAGTGACTGTAACAGTTGCATTCTAATAGATACATATATAACAGACATTAATGTATAACCCTTTCTGTCATTGTAATCACCATTCTTCTGAGATGAATTTAGTTATAAAATATTATGACTAATGAAAGCAGTAACCTACTTCTGTTCATCACATATTTATCTGTTTCAGGTTTGATCACGGATTGATTTCAGTTAGAGAATAGCTGAAAACCAGGTAGTACTGGATATCTAATTCGCTAACCGACAGAAGTTAGAATTCATGGGTCACTGGATTCCAGCCCAAGTGGCCAAATATTTAGCGAGCTTCGCCTCGTAACCTGAGGGTCTTGGGTACGATCTCTGGTTGGTTAGTGCGTAATTCTGAAGAGTCCCAAAGTAGGACAAAACAAGTGTCCGTGGTGGTTTTCAGTGGTCCAGACTTGAAATAAATCCAATCGCTACAAACCAAATACCCGGAAATACATTTTTTTGCTTAGAAATATAGTATGCTGAGCCACAGCATTATCAAGATGGCTTCTATATTGATCCCTATCTTCCAACGTTATATTTGCTTATGTGTCTAACTTACCTGGAAAACTGTTAAAGCTATTAAAAGTGTTTTATATTTAGCTGTTATAATGCTGTATATTTGTCAATATTGTAATTTTTATTGCAGCGGTGGAGTACGGCAAGTCAAATACGAATTGAACTAAAGAAAATGCATACCTTTGGTGATGAACGTGGAGCTGAAAGAGATACTCTATTGACCTACTATTTCGCTATACAAAAATTAACTGTAGGAGGAAGGTATGTAAAATGTTTTGATTTTTGTACAACTAATTACTCTGACTGGCTATCAGTGTTACTAGGGTAAATTGATTTAAATATACAAAACAATAATATCCTGCCCTTTTACTCAGTAATCTATAGTAACGGTCAGTTAAGTTGTAGTTCAGTCTAAATTGAGTGAATACGGAATGAAAAACATCCTATGCTTTAATTTACTGTGAATTATATACACATAATATTACAATTATTCTAGATTTTTGTAATCTCAGCGTTTTTTTCACAAACTGTTGAACACTTTTATTCTATCACGGTAATCCCAATGAAACATGGAGCTTTAGGCTTGAGCTTTGAGGTTATCAGTAACATTGGTGTTTGTGTTTCACAGGGGGGGTTTTGCTGGTCTCACCCCCCAATCTTCCCCCCCCCCCCGCTTATTGGGCTTACTACTTGCTAGGTGAGGTTTAGGAGTGTTTCAGTTAGGGATCGAACTCCTCGGCGAAAACACGTGAATATAAAATAACTGCTGTATTGGAAAATGTACTTCCAAGTGTTAGTGTTAATTCTGCTTCTGGAACTAAAGCTAAAGTGATCGTCTACTGAGTTTTGTACGCATCTTAATAAAGAGATTTTTACTGACACCACTTTAAGGCTGTATCTCCTGGAGAAGAAGTTGCAGATGAGTGCGAACAAAAATAATGTCCAGGGTTTCCTAATCACCGCTTCTAGTTGCATAATAACAGCTGAAAGTATTGCGAACCTAACATCATGCTGTAAGAACTATACGGTATGATTACTGATTACTGGAAAATGGCTGATTTCCCATGAACTTGTGTTGGTTGCGATAACTACACTAATAATGAAGGCTAAATATCCGACATTATTCAGGCAAACAGAATACCCCCTGTTGTAATTCCCCGATATCTTTAAAACATGGACTGATCCTTTAACTTGCACAAAGAAACTTTTCAACAAAGAAGTAATTCCAAAATTACTCTTGGTAAAATGTACAATATTAGAGATAACAAAACCAAATGTATTTATTTAAAGGAGGCTATTTGAGTTTAGTGAACAGGCAGAGTGAAAACAATCCATAAGTAAGCCGCCTAAATGTAATTTGATAATCTAAATTACTAGTTTCAGAATATGTAGGTGAGACTCAGATGTATTTCTAACTTATTTTCCACCTTAAATGTGATGTTATTTTGCCTTCTTTTACTTTAAAATTCCACAGTCTTCATATCCACTTCCACTTCCTCTAGTGTAGTCTGAAATGATTTGGACCATTATGGGAGGATGCTAAGTTTTAAGTTAAAAGCATCTGTTCCCATTATGTTCTGCTACTGCATATGTGAATTGCACTCATCTAAAATGTCTCTCGAAATCATTCTCTGAACTACCGACCAGAACGAAGTATTACTAGTTCGGTTAATTGACCAAAAGCGAGTAGACTTATGATAGCACTACGACGGCAACTGTTTTGGCTCACTTCATAGCTAAAGAGTTGGAGGTATAAAAGTAAGGGCGCTAATGCCACAGAGTTCCGAAGAGGTGTGGCACCTGAAGTTAACGATGCAGTGAAACAGTCGAAATCGTTGTCCGAAGAGATCACGACAAGCACAAGTCTCAAAAATATCCACTGATGGCTACAAAGTTATTGGTGTTCTGATGGAATATACCATGAAGAAGGTTTTAGTCGATGGTACTATAACTTTAAGAAATGAAAAAGCCTTACACGATGTGTTGATATTTATCCAGGACATGAATTCTGATTATGACTGCATTTCCCTCTACTCTATAAATACTAAGGAGGAGCATGTTGAGAGTTTCAAGACACCTTCGAGAAAATGATGAATAGCATCTAAAGACCAACTCACATCATCCGCTTGTGTAACCAACAGAGAATGTTACTACTTATCATTGCTGAAAATGTTTAGGTTGAAGCACAAATTATTCTGTTACTTAACAGACTAATACCGGGCTTACAGGTTTTTGCGGTCAAGGCCCTCAATTTCGGAGATAATCGAAAAGACATGGTGACAGCTTCCAATGGTATGGTGTTCTGTGACGAAGCAGAGATGTGCAGACTGGAAGACCTATAAGTTCAAGTAGTATACGCCATTATCTAAAAGGAAGATTATTTATGCCAGGCCGAGGAGACAAGACAAAGGTTGATAAACCCGTGGCCTAGATTGCGGATGAGATGAAAGCTTCCTATGGTGTGCAAATACTTGGCCAAACTGTCTGTTAGTGTAACTGTGGTCAAAGTTAGTAGAAGGAGGGGATGCGAAGTTACTGAGAAAAATGATTGTTGGACTCACACATTTAATGAGAAACGAAAATTAATTGAGAAAGGAATAATGTAAGGCGATGGCGATGTACTCCTTCCATGCATTCTAACACTCCAGAAATCGATAATTAAAACTCAAGATCAACTCAGAGGTGTAGAGATTGTTCTGCATGAAGTTTCAAGTTAGTACTTTACAATCGCCCATACTACCGGTGTAAACGCCTCTGTTGTCATTGGGAAAGTAACAAGTTTGCATGGGAACACCATTGAAGATGTTCAGAACGGCGAATTGACTGGTTAGCATAGTCCCGCATTTTTCATTTTTATAAATGAGAGCTATCATAATATATATAATATAATCATAAACCAACCGCTTAGATTCTCCTTCGAACTAAACTTTAGTGAGTCTGAAGTCAGAAAACATGCTTAGCACAAATGATATTGTATCTCATATCCACACGACAGATAAGTGTGGTGAGGCAGAGGTTGGGTAGCTGAACAGATATTCCACCTCGCTTCGTTTAAAACATCCAAAGCCTTCGAGTAAGAATCAGGCCGAAATTGTTTTCTCGCACTTGAACTGTTATACACAAACATTAGCAATGCAATCTCACCGATATTTCAAATATTTTGATCATAAACTAGTTAAAACAAAATAAATATGCTGAGTAAACACTAAGAAAAGCACTACAGTAAATCTGGCCCCTAGAATCTATATTTCTCTATAGAAAAAACGATTTCTGATGTATAATGAAAGGCACTTAATCTCTGTGTTGGTCTGTGTATGTGAGTTTAACACTATATATCTAACACCTTAATAAATGTATACAATTTCACTAAATTCAATAAAAAAGGGTATTAGCCGGCTCACATATACAGCCAAATGCGGAATAATTATTTTCAAAGCTCTATAGTTATTATAACTTTATACCTAAGTATCTTTCAAACACCAATGGTTATTCTTTCATTTTTGTTATTTATGTCTATGTATCACTTGTTATCTTGAAATCGGATACTTCATTTCAATGTAAAAATCGCAAATTTTAAAGTAATTTCTATGTTTTCATTACGGTGGAGTTATATCTCATAAAGAAATAAATAAAATGAACCATTTTGCTCATTGAACTACTGCCTGTCAAACTGATGATGAATAGCCAATCATTTGTTAATATTTGATATTGTTGAAGCATCGTTTCAACTACAGGCGGAACTGACGAGGATATCAAAGCAAGAATCGGAAAAGCAAGACAAGCTTTCACTACTCTTAAGTCTGTGTGGATGTCAACAACTCTCAGTATCAAAAATAAGATCCGGATTTTCAACTCCAATGTGAAGTCAGTGCTACTATACGGATCAGAGACTTGCACTGCACGTCATAAAGAGCATTTCAAACAAACTACACACCTTCATTAACAGTTGTCTTCGCTCAATACTACTCAAGATCAGATGGCCAGAAAAGATCAGCAACAGAGATCCCTGGGAGCGAACCAACCAGGAACCGATTGTGAAACAAACAGGCAGGAAGAAATGGAGATGGATTAGCCATACTCTGAGGAAACCATCAAGTGACATCACCAGACAAGCCATTGCTCCAGTGGAACCCAAAAGGGAAGCGGCGAGTTGGTCGTCAGTGCAAGGGTGACTTGGAGGAGGTCATGTGAAGAGGAGATGAAAATGTGTGGGCAGACTTGGAGCTAGGTGAAAACTCAAGCAGAGAACCGAACGCAATGGAGACGCACGGCTGAAGCCCTATGTTCTTCTAGGAATTAAAAGATACAATAATAATAATTGTTGAATAGCATAGCTTGAGATGATATGAATTCCATAGTTAACTTTCAAAGTTTTTTGACACTAATCAGTAAGGTGCACATTTCAAACCAGACTACTTCATGCTCTTCTTCTGGAATAGACAGGTGCTCTACAAATGTACAGATAGGAGTGATTCTCTTAAGCTATTCTAATAGATAATGGAACCTTTCATAGTGCAGGATATGCAACAACAGGTCTTTTCTGGTAGCAACCCACTGACAAGTGAATGCGGTTTAGATTTATGAAGTGATAGTCCCTCACCTTACTTCTTGGCTTTGTGGGCATTTAAAATAGTCTTGCACTAGCTTCATTACAAAGAATGATGATAGTCATAGACATAATACTCTTATAGCCATGTACACTGAATAGAGTTAGGTTGGAGGAAAGATTCGCTACCATTCTAGGCATTTATCCACTATTTTTTGTGCCATACATAAAAGAGCCAACTGCACATTTAACTATTGGTGTAAGGCACACCTCCCAATAACATGACATAAAGTTAACCGTAGTGATTGTTTTATTCACCTAAAAACCATTTGACTAAGTTCTCACTTCATCGGAAATACCCATAAAGACATTGATTAAAAAGAACAAGGGTTAAGAAAAGAGACATGCTTCGTAGATTAACATCATGCCTATCAAGACAAAAAACAGCAACAAAGTCAAAAAGTCACCGTTATTTAGCAGCAAAATATAATGAACTGTACACAGGACAATAAAGATGTCTGTGATATTAGTAAAATAGTGTTGCATTATATGTAAAATCTGTAACCATTAATTATGGATAAGGTTAAACAATGTCCCCTTACAGTCAGCGTTATGAAAACAGTAAAAAGAAATCTGTATTGTTAAAGTAAGGTTGTGACGAAGGAGTTAATTACACTACACGTCAAAGAAATTCTGAAGTATTGGAAACCTAAGGATATCGTAATACAAAGACATCACAGATAGCCACAGCTTTAGTGGTACAAAATACGTAAAGGAAGAGAACTTAAGTTAATTTATTTCTTTTTATGCGTATCAACTGAAAGGTTAATTCGGTATAAACAGAAACAGTAATAATAAGCCCCCAAAATGACCTGTCAGTTGGTCTTTATCATGTGACTTTTTACATCTATGAATGCTCTTTTGGAGCTTGGGTATCTTCAACTAGCACACTCTGTGCTAGGATCTTCACAGCACCAAACTGTCGGACGAAAGCATATTACTAATGAGTCAGTCATACTATTTGCTGTGACGCTTACCTTTATGTAGCATTTTAATTTTATTCGTTCTAAAAGCTATACATTTCCTCCTTATGCTCTTATTCAGCAATTATATAAACTATATAACATACCCTCATTCTGTTGTTACAATATTCTGCCCCCAAATGGACTCATGTTTGTTTCTAGATATGTCTAGATTAATTAAAGTTAAGAAGCTTCTCTTTACTTACAACTCGTTACTCATTAAATGAGTTAACAAAGGCAGTTTTTAGTTGTTATGTGACTCAAGCTAATAGTTAAGGACTTCATGTTTTGATTTGACCATCTCTAACTCTTTTCCAACCTAATCTGTCGCCAGCTAACACTGCTCGGCTAGGCATCAGTAACTAGTGTTCCACTCATCTAAATGAATGCAGTTTCACAACCTCATTGAATGTCTTCCTCGCCTTACCTAATACTACGCCACTAAGCGCATTATTACTGACTATACCATACAACCTAAACTGAGAAATGGAATGAGGAAACCCATTGCCGAAAATGGCCAGCTTTTCAACTTCCCATGGCATTTAACCTGTTGATATAAAACTAAAGATAGAGACAATTCTTTCACCTGCATGTATAAGCTGAGAAATTTTGTAGAAGCTGCTGACAGTTTGCCAACTCGACTATGAAAGGCATTATGCTGATATGTCGTGATGTTATAGGCAGAAATATTGCTCACCAGAATCACGCAGCTTAGAAGCTTCGAAGACGTACTTCAGTCCGAGTATTTTTTCACAGATGTATTTAATTCTTCATAATCTATATTTTCTTCAAGGTGTCTTTGTCACGGACATGGTAATGAATGCAGGAAAAGTTCTGGACCAGGACAAAAAGATCGTTTAGTCTGCGTTTGTGATCCAGCTCACCATACATCTGGTGATAATTGTGAACAATGTAGTGCAGGCTATCAAGATCGACCATGGCAGCCAGCTACACCACAAAATGCGAATCCATGCGTTGGTAAGTTGTGCAACATACACCTGTTAAAAGAATTTTTGACACTTAACACTGTTTCTTCTCGGTAGATATGAATGTTCAACTTTTATTGGGGATACATAAAGCATTGAAATACATGTATGTGTAGATAAACAATGCCCATGATCCTTAAGACCGGAAAAATAAACTTTCACTGTGACACGGGCTTCCAATGCAGCCTTACCATATTCACTACAGTTTAAGTTGAAAATTATATCGAATTTCCGTCTTTCTGCTATGACATATAAAGAACACTGGGTAAATTTAGTAAGCTTAAGAGTCATAAAAGTTTCAGAGGGTCTTAATATTCTGCCTACTAGACCAGAGCAATATCAGTGCAGGAGAGTAGTTTTGCTACATAGTGAAGTTAGCGCTGAATGAGATCCCGTTCAGTGCTACTACAATAGCAACCTCAACAGCACAATGAAGTCTCTTGGTAGTGGAACAGACGTTTTCCTAAGAGGTCAAGACTGTTAGTCACTATACTTTGTTTTTACTGCATAAGCTTACTGATAAAATTATATTATTAGAATAATTGCTAACTCTCCCATAGGCTGGGGACCTTTATTAGCGGCTGCCTTCAATGAATTCACACTGAAGATAAACCAGAAAGAATTATCAACCAGAAACTCTGGGAACGAGTCAGCCAAGAACTGATTGTTCAACAAATATGCAGAAAAAAGTGGGGACGTGTCAGACACACGTTAAGGAGACTGTCAGATGCCATCATGAGCCAGACCATCGTTCTAGTAGAGCTTAAATGGGAAACAAAGGGTCTGGTCTGGATTCAAGGCTGATATAGAGAAGATTGTGTGAAGAGGAGATGAGAGCCTATGGGTAAGTGTGAGATCAGCTAAAGAGGACCATAGAGAATAGGACGAAGTGGAGACGTGCTGTTGAAGCTCTGTGTTCCACTCGGAGGAATGGTTATAACGATAGTAAATAGCTGTTAGCCTTGGTGCGTACGTTACAAAAAGTCAAGCTGCACTTTATCCACTGGCTCATCTCAAATGATTGAATCATGAATACTTCCTCTAAATTATAAAGTTTAATATAGTGCGACTGTAGTAAACTAGTAATTCTTTAGCGAAAATTGATTCGTTGTACTAGTCATTCTTTTTTTCCACTAATTCTCTTTCAGCTTGTAACTGTAACGGGAATGCATATTTATGTGAATTTGATTATGACTTATACAGTCGTACTGGTTCAGGAAGTCGATGTATTAACTGTGGTAATAATACTGAAGGAATAAATTGTGAAAAATGTAAACCAGGTCATTATCCTAATCCTAAACAACCAACATCATGTTTACCATGTTCATGTGATCCTGTGGGTACTCTTGATGGTCAAATGGATTGTAATGCACAAGGTCAATGTGCATGTAAACCTGGTGTCGGTGGTAAACGCTGTGATCGTTGTCTAGAAGATCATTTCGGTTTCAGTGCAGGAGGATGTCTGTAAGTATATTTATTCATATAATATATGTGAAGTATCGAACACAGCGTATGAGAATCCTCAGCATATCAGATTGGCGATATTTATAAATAATCTTTACTACATTGAGTTGATAACTAAATCTATTCAGCTTTCATGTTTTAATTAATACAAGTTTACTTGTTATCAGCTAAACAGAAGTAACTGTGGACTTACACTGATGAATGAAGCATCAATCTCCTTGGTGGCGAACACTGAATGAATTCACAGTTGAACTAAGCATAGATCTGTCTACTCACTGACTTCAACCATCCATAACCAGTTTGCTTCTTCAAAGAATAACAGTTTTCAAGTGTTGGTTTGTAGGGATTTGATTGGTTACAGGATATTCATCATGAGCTGACATTAGTTAGAGAACCATTGGAAAACCTGGGATTACTGGACAGCTGTTTCGTCCTAGTTTGGGACTCTTCATCAGTACGCACCCACCGAGATTCGAACCCTGGACCTTCTGGTTACAAGGCGAGCTTGTTTACCATTAAGCCACTGGGACCCGATCCAATGGTCCATGAATTCTAACTTCTGCCAATTCACGACATAACACGATCCCTAGCCAATGTCTTCGGCGAGTATTTGTCCTGACACCCGACCTGCTGCACCCTACTGGTTTTCATGATGCAAATAGCATAAATAATCCAGAAAAAATACCGGACAGAATAAGTCATTCAAAAGTGATACATTTAAAAGCTTAATTGATATGACCAAGTTACGGGTAAAAGTGCATGATATTCTTGTCATTTGACATAGATACAGAGCTTGAGCACAGTGGTAGAGTTTTATTCCATCACAAAATAATTTTGTTTGACAAAAGCACACAGTGATATTACATTATTTACTGATGACGTTTTGAGTACGTCTTACTGTTGCTCATAATCATATCAAGGAGGAGATATACGAGTAACACCTTCACATCGTAAAAACAGGACGTATCTTTAGTTTCTTCACACATATGGACTCATTAGTAAAGGGAATGAACTTACATTTGAGTTATTAAGTGAATAAAGAGAATTAGCCATGCTAGACTGTAAGCTGTGCTTTAGGGTTTATAAAAAGTCAACGCACTTTAATAAATATTTAGGCTTTAATTCATCTCATCCATTATCAGTATATACACTAAACAAAAACTATAAGTAGTACACAAAAAAAGCCTAAATGATGAAATGAAGCAGATGGAAAAAGCGTTAGTGCTTATTAACCACCTCATAAAAATCATTAAGTGGATGTAGAAGGCTCAGAATAAAGGGAAAAACGGTAGTTAAACTATTAACCATAACATAAATTACAAAGAATGTAAGGCACATACAGTTTCACCATTGGGAAACGACGAGTGGAGCTTCCGAGGGTGACATGGAGGAGACCGTGTGACGAGGAGATAAAAAACTATGAACAGTCTTGGGACCAGCTAAACAGGGCTACAGAGAATAGAACACAGTGGAGACGTGCTGTTGTGGCCCTATATTCCACTCGGAACTCAAAGGAACAACAATAACAATAAAGTTTTACCATATCAAGAAGGGACATCTGAAGCCCCACGTTGGATCGTCAATAAAGCAGGGATTAGACTGGCATTTAAACCTACAAACTCACTTAGGGACAAGCTGTGTAAGCTGAAAGTCCCTAATGACCTAATTAAGCAAATTAATTCGATCTAAAAAAATGCATGTAAATTACTGTAAGGTTGACTAAGTAGAATAAACCGGCAAATCGAAATCAACCAGGTTATCAAAATAGAGGAATTAGGCTGAATGTACAATGGCTGACCCTATGAAGATGAATAACTTGGAGAAAACTCATCAGTCACAATGCATGCACTAACACACAATGACACAATAAGGTGAGATAGAGCTCCAGCCCTGAAAAGTGATATGGTTAGGTGGCGGGCTGCAAAATGTAGATCATTGAATCCTTATTCGTTGAATCTACACTTAAGACGTCCAGCAGGAATGACTCAACACAAATACCAGAGATATGGAGGATACTGATACCAGCAAAACTGAAGGATTAGAAATAATGGAATTATAAAGAGGAAATTTGGAAGTTATGTGAATAGCGACTTGATATTATATATGTATATATATATATATATATATATATACAGAAGAGTAATAAATTGTGCTCGAAACGTTATCAATGAAATGTACTGTATCACTGTGGGATTTTATCAAATAAAATAGAGTTCTGTCATTTCCTTGAAATGATCTCATCTTCCCTCTATTGACTATACAAACACCACCACTCAGAATATCCAATAAAAAACATATGGTTTCGTCGACAAGTAGAAAAAACTGACATTAAGGTTGATTGTATAAGTAAAATTTTTATATAAACAGAACAACATAAAAGATCAAATCCCTGCAAACTAAATCTTGAAAATTATTATGATGCTCGCTAGTCAATGGGTACACGAAAAAGTTGTCTACACTTCTACTGAAAAGTCGTGACCACTAGAAACCGTCTGGTAGGAAATGAGAACAAACAGTCATCGTTGATGACAGTGAATGGTGCCAATCGCGCTACATATATCACGAATCGGTAGAAGTTGAAATTCATAGGTTGGTCATTGAGTGCGTTCTCAGTGGCTGAATGGTCTGCGAGGTTGACTTGTAGCCGGAAGGTCATGGATTTGAACCCCGATGGGGGCTTATTGCCAATGAGCCGCAAGCCAGGATAACAGAAACAGTTGTCCAGTACTCTCTGGCTTTCAATGGCTCCCTAACTGCTATCAATCCACCATCAAACATGACTGAATCAGTTAAATATTAAGCTTAAGACTCTTCAGCAGTACCCACCCATTGTGGTTCGAACTCAGGACCTTCCAGTTAGAAGACAACGTCGAACACCACCCAGCCAGTGTGCTTCGACTCAGTGGTGCCTGAGTTCCAACTTCTGCCAATTTGTGATGTATTTAGCGCAACTGCCAGCCAATATAACAGGCGAGTAACTGTCCCCTCTCCTGACTCGGTGGACGCCGCTGGCTGCAACATACTTCTAGAAGGTCGTGGTTTCGTACCCTGGCGGTGGGCGCGTATTGATGAAAAGTCCTGAATTAGGACAAAACAGCTGTCCAGTACACTCTGGTTTTCTAATGGTCCTCTAAATGAAGTCAGCCCGTGATAAATAACTAATAGTCTGAAAAAAGAACAAATGCAATTATTAAATACCCACATTCTACATAATGTTCAGATTCTATTATATATTTATTCTAGAAAAATAAACTATTAAATTGATTCAGCCAGTAGGATGCACATTATTGTTTATTTGTTCTGACTGGAATTTTAGTGCAAAAAAGAGACAATAAACTCACACGATCTAACCTACATATTGGATAGAATGAACAACTAGTTAGTTGCACACCCTGCACACACACACACACACGCAAAATACATTCATATTTGTTTCTGCTAAAAAAAACCTAAAGACATCTTTGTGTATGATAGAATAGCTGAATACTGATACTGTATTAAATTCACAGGATGATTAGATAATCTAAGAGTGAAATGCACATTTTAATACAGGGTACAATAAATATGAAACTAAGGTCTAAGGCTTTCTGTTAACTAGTTCCAAACATGCCATACTGAAGCATAACTCCAATACTTTATCATGTTATCTAGCTAACTGATGACAATGCATCCACAATCGAGAGATTTCCGTTGATACAATTCAGAGTGAACAGTTACACTAATCATTAATCGATAGCCAGTTGACTTCCTTCAAAATATTTCCTCAGTGAATTCGATAACTGAGAGAATATTTCCAGTTTGACTGTGGATTGATATCAGTTGGAGAACCACTGAAAACTACCACGGAGTACTGTCCTAGTTTACGACTCATCAGCAGTACTCATCTACCACAGGGGTCCAGACCCAGCACCTTCGGGTTACATGTTTAGCTCGCAGACCATTCAGTCACTGAGATCCCACTCAAAGACGAGCCTATGAATTTCAACTTCTACCGATTCGTGATATATGTAGCGCGATTGGCACCATTCACTGTCATCAACGATGACTATTTGTCCTCATTTCCTACCAGGCGGTCCCTAGTGGTCACGACTCCTCAGTAGAAGTGTAGACAACTTCTTCGTGTATCCATTGACTAGCCAGTATCTGACTAATTTTCAGTGGTTCTCTAAATGAAATCGATTTTTGGTCAAAATAGAAACAAATAAAATGTCTACAATTTCCCACCTGAAGATATAATATTCTTCTACAGTCATTTTTATGATAGCATACGTCTTTATATAGAACAGACTGGTGCATTCATTTGTTGGTTTGAATGTAAACTTCACTGGAAATTTAAAACTAGTGCTTATTTATTCGGCATTAAATTTTGTTCGGTGTCATGACTAGTTGGTTATAAAGACATTTCCCCAGCTCAAAATTGTATATGATAATGAGAGATCTATGCCAGATAGTCAAATCCGGCCCACCTGGGGGAAAGGCAGGAAACCTAACCGCTAGACTGATTATTATTCTTAAATAACTTGGCCTTGAAGGATGGACTTTTTTGACCGCTAACAACAACCGTATTCACTCTTGACTGTTTCTTCTTAGAGTGAATTACTAAGAATTTTTTTGATTTTTTGACTACAGCTTGATGCCACACCGTATTTTCAGTACAAGTATGGCATTTTCAGCATGTGATATCGGTAGCCCAAATTTTGCAGGCCGACCATGGATATTGGGTGTGCGCCGGCAGGGGATCGAACCCCGGACCATGTGCATGGTCGGCGAGAGTCCTAACCACTGTGCCACCGACGCAGCTGCATTGAAAATCTGGAACAGTTTTCATTCTTAACTTGATTTTCATTGAGTGGTATCAGATCAGTTGTACCTTCTTCAGAATATGAATTCTATAGCTTCGCCGTTTCCTTTTTAAGGAAGGTCTTCTCTATTTATAGACGTTGTATGATTCTCCTAATCCTCTTCGTTGTTTAAACCAGATTTTATTGATGTAACTGTGTTCTCTGAAACTTTCACTCTCTTCCTAGATAACATCTTTAGCTGTGATGTTATCTACGGAGAGAATGAAATCTTCGCAATTAAACCAACCACCTCGGAGTTGTTAATTACACCAATGTCATCTACCTAAGCGACATATTTTAACCATCACTTCTAACAATGTCCAAATTAGTATCCCAGTGAGCTGCTAATTCTTTGAAATCTTATATGTTTTCGCATTCTTCCAAGTAACTTGTTGCGAGACATCGCGACACCCATAGATTATCAAACTATATGGAATTTCATGTCAACTTGAATTTAGCCATGTTTAGTGAAATCTGTTTAATGCTCTAGTGGAATCCCTGATGCATAAAGTCATCTCCTGAAACAAAATTAATTTTTCTTCCAATGACAAATGAGAGTAGACATTGTGCTATTTTTTTAAATTCCTGTGTCCACCTGTCTTCTTTTCTAGGCCCTGCAATTGCAATGAAGGTGGAAGTTACGAAAATCGTCGAATGTGTGATTCACAGACCGGACAATGTGTTTGCAAACAAAACACTGCTGGTAAACAGTGTGACAAGTAAGCTAATGCTGGTTTTAATGCCGTTTAGTAATTTGTAATTTGTAAATGACTGATTATTGAACACAGAATATTCCTTCCAATAACTTTGTCACCAGGTTCTACACTTATGTGAAAGTAGTAATTAAGGGAATATTGTTAATGACAACATTAATGCTGTTTTAAATTACACTGAATCAAAAGTAACAATAAGTGATCACAGTTCAAAAGCATCAGTAAGAGAGAGAGAGACTAATATGCGATAATAGAACAACACCAAACTGATTGAATATCAGATAAATTATGATAGGTAGCACAGAATTTATGAATTTATGGGATTGACAGCAGGCCAGGGTAGCAATTGTGACTTGACTTGTTTCTTCTGCACACATAGCTCCAGCTGATCTAAGCTAATTGCAATGGCCTCTGCTGTTTTGAGTGTTTAGTATCTAGACACCTTTGGTAACTTATTTGGTACCCTATAGATGATAAAGAAAGACTCTTTGTGGCCTGTTTGAACGAGGTGGCCAAATGTAGCACTGTTGACGGCTATAACAACACCATTTATTTTACCAGGCTGGTAGATTTCTTCGAGAACGATAAATTAAGTTCTCAGAGTAGCAGCCAACATAGCTGGCTCCACAGGAGCAGCTTACCAACATTAGTCGTTCTTTGAATCGATTTCTTCAACTTGTTGGTTGTTGCTTGAATCCACCCCAGCTTAGTGTTCATTAATTAGACTTTAAAAATTTGTAATTGACATCTTTAATGAATTTTTCATTTTCAAATGAATTGAGAATACCTACTTTAAAATTTTACCTTGCAGATATCTGATTCCTATCAATCACTCTGTCTAATCATTTTTTTTTGAATGTATTATTTTGCATTTGCTGAAATATAATTGGTATTGTATAAAATTTTGTAAGGTTATGCTACTCAATGGCCTTGATTATCAGCCACACCCAGTGTCAGGTATCTTATATTTACTCACTGTTTGCCTAATCGATATGTAGTAACTGGGATGATTTGGAAAATGAACACGTGAGCCAAGGCTTAAATGCATGCATTACTTTACATTTCCGTGTTCTTGTTGTGTTGTTTTTTCCCCCGAAATATTAATCCATTAACTGATTGAATTCACAGCATTTTTTAAACACCAACGTCCTCGAGGAATAACAAACAGTCTCTCCAGTTAATTCTGCTGGTGTGATAAAATGACAAAAAAATACTTTTCTTAGTTCAGACAGACGCTTTTTTATGCATAATTAAGAAGGAGAAAAAATAAAAGTTTGTTACCTGGAAAAGTTTATTCCCAAAGATTCTATTGTCTTTCTCAGGATAAAGAAAGCGACTGATTGTGCATCTCTTCACTTTGGCTAGACAGATAATTGAAACCATAAAAAATATAATTAAAGTATCATTATTTTAGGAGCAAAAATCGATGATTCAGATGCTACTCGTTGCAAAATAAGCAGATTTGCACTCCATAAACCCTAACCTAAAACTCCCCACTTTTTAGCCAATTTAATAACATGCTATACAAACTAACTCTTAAAAATTAATTTGATGCTTGCTGGTGACTGGATATCAGAGGAAGTTGTCTTCACTTCTAGTGAAAAGTCATGACCACTGGGATCCATCAGGTGAGCAGTGAGGACAAATGCTCGCTGACGATGATACTGAGTACTGCCAGTCGCGCTACTTATCTCACGAATTGGTAGAAGTTCGAATTCATGGACGAGCTATTCGGAAGGTTCCCAATGGCTGAAGGGTCTACGAGCTTGACTTGTAACTGGGTGCGTGCTGCAGAAGAGTCCAAAACAAGGACCCAGAAGCTGTCCAGTACTTTCTGGTAGTTTTCAGTGGTTCTCTAAATAATATCAGTCCATGGTCAAACTTGAAATAAGTAACAAGACAATTTATTCCTACAGTCAATTAGAGAATTAAGTGGTATTCGCTAAAGATGTTCTGCACAGTTTGATTAGAGACTAGTTAGTAATGAATATCATGTGTCCAGTAAAAGTATCCAACACACGCCTACAGGAGGTCAGTCGCCAGCCCCAATAGCCTAGTGGGTAATATGGGTTGAAATGTCAGATGGGACATGAGTTCCTTCAATACTGCAGATGCACCTTTCTGACGGGTGAGTGCCACCAATCATGAAACCCAGGTCAAATAGGGCTTCCTGCCGACTGCCTCTAACCATCTAATAACAACATGTTCAAAATAACCTCAGGTAGTCATCGACGAACTGTAATCGTCTCCTATTTATATTTTCAATTGACTATAATGTTTTACTACCCAAAAACCTGAGACACGAAAATAAATATTCAGTAACGGCTTTTGTTATACACCAATGCTACGTAAAAACATAGCATAAATTAACCAGGGTAGAAATGATAGTCGAATCACAATGAAGACAATAAGAATTTATTGACCTTCCATCTCTGGAAATCTAAAACAAACGAAATCTCTTCACACTCTTTATGAAGCAAACACTGATTCTATCACATACACGCTGATCAGTTGGCACTGAAAGCTTTTCTTTTCGAAATCAGCTAACATTATCATTATAATTGTTTTTCATTGCTTAGGTTCAGGATTAGATGTAAGGCCTCAACACCTACTCAATCTAGCATGAAAAAAACCGAATTGTTAAAATAAGATCAGAAGTTCTAAATTTGGAATATGATAAACCATTTCGAAAAGTTTAAGGTGAATCACTGTTTCTTGAAATAAGGAGGACTCCAGGTTAAGCAAATTAGATATTTCTACATATCTGATGCCAATATTAAGAGACCTAATATATTGATCACAGGGTATTGATGAATACATGTTAGGATGGAAAGGAAACAGAACAGATGACATGAATAAATTAATATATTTAGCTTGATTCAAACACTTCTTAGACACTCACTGTAAACCGCATTAGGAAAATCTTGAGTTCCCCAATGAAATATATTTCGTTTCGATTATTATTATCATCATTTACTCCTTGCTATCCGAGTGGAAGTTAAAGCTTCCATGGGACACCTCCGTTCTACTTGGTTTTCTACCATTCAACTGTATTCAAGGTAGATCAAAAGCTTCCACTCCCCTATCATCGAATCATTTCCATCCCACAGTCGTATCTACACCCTGAATGTGCCTTCTCATCCGAGTCTGATTTTCAGTGGCGGGAAGTGTGATGTCACTTGAATGCTTCCCCAGTTTGTGTGTCTCCATTTCCTTCTTAATATTTGTCAGGCAATAGGTTTCTGGCATTAGGATAAAGTAATTAAGTTGAAAAGGCTGCAGTCTAACGAACCAAAGATCATAAGTTACACTTGTGATGTTATTCAAACCAACCTTCAAGGCTGGTTTTAGACCAAATAGACGAAGTATTGATCATGTATTCACCCTTCGATAGATTCTGGAGCTTAGGCATACTTACCGGTGTCAAACAATTTCCATATTTCTTGACCTGAAAGCAACATTCGACTCTGTCGACCGAGAAGCGCTATGGCAATGTTTGGCCTTGAAGGGAATGCTGAGAAAGTACATCGCAGTAGTCGAGTCACTCTACTCGAACTCATGCAGCCAGGTGAGAGCTTATGGCAAGTTGTCTTCTGAACTGGCGACGACTAGTGGTGTCCGTCAGAGATGTCCAGCGGTCCCCATTTCTATTTAATTTCATCGTAGATGTACTAATGGTATTGACTCTAAATGACTTCAGCGACTCAGAGATTAACTATTTACCAGGGGATGATCTCTTTGGCTTATAATATGTAGATGATATATTTCTTCTAGGTGAAGGCGCTTACAAAATGCAAGGTCTTCTGAACACCTTGAGCAGGAATCTTCGACTGTTCGGCATGCGATTCGCTCACCCTGTCAAATGTAAGATGATGCTACAGGGCTGGACTGGACTACACTAACTCCTAGCTTAGAAATAGGGAGTGAATTGGTGGAGCCTATTGACCGCTTCATTCGAATCGTCCCCAAAAAATTAATCTACGATGAAATGTCAGCACGGATACAGAAGGTTCGTTTTGCATATTACAGCTTACTCCATCTTTGGCATAGAGTTTATGTCCAGCTGTGGACCAAAGGACGTGTGTACCGCACAGTAGCAGCAGTTCGCTCCGTCTTCCTTTATGGCTGTGAGAGAGATATGGCCACTGAGAGTGGAAGAAAAGAAAATTTCGCCTAGCTGGCGTTGATCATATGTGTCTGGATTCTACCTCCCATCTTAGGGAGTATAATACGGTGAGCAATATTGTGGTTAGGCGTTGTCGAGTGTTAGGTAAGGAGGGAAGGAAAGTCACCTGACGAGGTTGTGAAGCTACACCGATTGAGACGGTTAGGATATGTGTTACTCATGGATGCCTAGCCATCGCCTTCCTTGATGGACAATATTAGCTGACATAGGATTGATCAGGTTGGAAAAGAGCTAGTGTTGAACAAACCAAAACATGGCACCAGTCAGTGAAATCCATAACAGTTAGTTTAAACCAGCCACGTAGGGAAGTGTAGACTTCCTGGCTGGTTGGGGTCCTCGGGATGGTAAGAACCAATGAAGGTTGGAGACAACTGGTGATATGGCTCAAAATCGTTCTCATTGCGTCGGTGGCACAGTGGTTAGGACTCTCGCCGACCATGCACATCGTCCGGGGTTCGATCCCCTGCCGACGCACACCCGATATCTATGGTCGGCCTGTAAAATTTGGGCCACCGATATCCATGCTGAAAATTCCATACTTGTACTGAAAACACAGTGTGGAATCAAGCTGTAAAGAAAAAATAAAATTGAGAAGAATAAGAAGTTCAGCAAAGATATCTTTTCGGCGATTTCATTTTCAAAAGCTGTACAATCGCATTTAAATACATAATTTTACATGGAGACAATTCTTGTTTGATTCTACATAATTATGACAGCGAATAAAAGGTGATAATTATTTCCAACTAGATATGGTTATACGAGAGGCTTAGAAACAAAAATTACGCAGGATTAGAACGGATATCAAGTGTGTAAAAATGAGCATGGATACAAAATTGAAATAATAATTTTCAACTTGAGATGGGAATCAGGAGGTGCGAATATAGATTACAAGAGCCTTAGAAACAAAATTACATGGAATTTAGCAAATTACAGGTGTGCAGAAAGTGAGCATGGAAACAAAATTGATATAATAGTTTTAGCTTAAAATGGAAGTTAGGAGGTGTGAATATAGATTACAAGAGCCTTAGAAACACAAAATAATTGCACAGGATTAAGATATAATTGCAAATTTGATTCCCGTCTCAAGTTGAAAATTATTATTTCAATTTTGTATCCATGCTCATTTTTACACACTTGATATCCGTTCTAATCCTGCGTAATTTTTGTTTCTAAGCCTCTCGTATAACCATATGTAGTTGGAAATAATTATCACCTTTTATTCGCTGTCATAATTATGTAGAATCAAACAAGAATTGTCTCCATGTAAAATTATGTATTTAAATGCGATTGTACAGCTTTTGAAAATGAAATCGCCGAAAAGATATCTTTGCTGAACTTCTTATTCTTCTCAATCTAATGTTCCAATGGGCATTTTCCACGATTTGAAAAAATAAAATAAAAAAAGATGCATTCACTCTTTTTGATTTGTCATATCTAATAAATCTTAATTGTTCTTCCATATTAATTTTCTTTTTTACTCAAACTTCTATTTATTATCTCTCTTTTGAATCCTTATGTGCCACATGGGTAGAGTGACAACTGGAACGGCTGTACATCTGTGAAAAGTTTTATGCTGAAGCAAGTCAGTCAGATATCAGTATCTGTCTTACAGTGTAATTTCACATTTAAAAAATCCCACCAATAATTAAAAACCAACTAACGGTCTATATCAGTCGTTACAAACAAAACTCAAAACAGGTCTATTGTCCTTTGCTTTTAACCACCAAACAGTAACTGAAGAGACAGCTTCTTCACATTTCAGTCTCCAAGTCAAATTGTATTTATGATATTAATACGGTAGTAAGTAAGTAAGGAAATTATTTAGGAGGGTGTCTTAGTGAAGTACTATGTAGTTGTTTGTCAGTCTGCGTAGGTTACTGTTACTGCTATTTCGCTTTGATTTTCTCTTTTTGTTACAAGAGTACATTGAATAAGCGATATAACTGTAAATATGAATGCCTTGAAGTAATGCCCATTTGAATTTTGACTTCTGTTCTAATTCATCACTCCACTATCCCCTATTATCACATGATTTTCATTTTATTTTAGATGTAAAATTGGTCATTACGGTCTTATGTCAAATGATCCATTAGGATGTAAACCGTGTATCTGTTCATTACATTCTTCAGAGTGTAAATTAGACGAATTACAATTAGCCTTATCATTTGAGAGACTAGGTAAGTCAAGTAATATCAAATTTGAAATATTTTCTTTTCTTTTAAACTGCTTGTCATCTTTTTACTTTACTGGGTTTAGCTGTCATTCTAAACAGGACAGATAATGTTGGAAGAAATATTTGTTGTTTGAAATCATATAACGCTACATATTTTAAGATTATAGAATAACCAAGTAAAGAATAATAACAACGATTTAATGAGTAAGTACATTCGAGCCAGTGAGAACAGTTCTGAACCACTTCTCTAAGAGTATCCAACTCTTGGTCCTTATCATCGTATGAGCATCAGCCAAACAGTCTACACTTCTTCGCGTGGTTCTATCTATCAGCTGATGACTTCATGGACTGATGCTACGCTTTGACTTGAATAAATCTAACTCTGATCTAATCTTATCCTTTGTCAGCTAACATTGCTGCTGGAGAAAAACTCACTAAGAGCGACTCATATGTCCCAGATATGTCAATTAATGCAGCTTCACAACCTCATCGATTGACTTTCACATTATATAGTTCGAGAAATTTGAAGCAGGCGCCTATGATCAAAGATGAATAATCCTTTCATATCTTCCATTTTCAGCGGTCATGTTTCACTGCATAATCCTATAGATTAAGTCTATTTTAGGGATTTTCTGCATGTGTAAACAAGTAGCAGGCTGAAGTGCTACAGGTTACTCCCGGCCAGTCATTCAGTAGACAAACTTACGTATGCCTGTCAAGTCTTTTGACCTATCGTAACTTCATGGCACATCGCATTTTCTTTTTCATTCACACTGAATTCATACGGGTAAGCCATGTGCTGTTTATTTCGCCATATCTGTGGGCTTCCTATCAAGACAAAAGATTTTTAAGGCTTCTACTGTATCTTTAAGTTGGTTGATATCAAGCACAAGGTGACTAGAAACTCTAAGACTCGAAATTTAACGGATAAATGTGGTAGAAAATTGTACCAAAGTTTGATCACAAATGCTAACATTACGTGTAGTTCATTTGTACCAGAAAATACAACTAAAAGTGACGGAAAATAAACACTTACTTATAAATATTTGGGTAGTTAGGTGACTGCAGGCTTATTTATAGAAGTACTCTGAGTATTAATCATCTTTTATTCGTTTGCTATGACTTAATTTAGTTCCCAGGAGACAAATATGTACTGACAATTAAGCCGAAATCCATCCATAGACATATCGAAAATGGTTCTTTAATCAATATCAACTAATGAAGAAATCCTGTAACCAATCAAATCCCTGAAAATCAACTCTAAGTAAAACTGCTGGCAACGGTGAGAACGATGTTATGCACTGTGCCTTACTCTCCATTAATTGAAAATTATGACAAGAAGGTTGTGAATATAGGTGTAATGTTTGTTCTGCTTTTTGAATATTCAATGACAGTCACAGCATCAGTCAACAGGAAATCTAGACTTGTACCCATGTTGTAGCTGGTTACAGTATGCTGTGGACTCTACAAATAGGAATATCACTCAAAACATTTGTAATCACTTTTGAACCTCATAAAGATGTATTGACTAAACGTAGATGTGTTAGTTGCGTTATGAAAAAAAAGAAGAATCCTGAGAATACATCTGTTATTTGGGTAATATCAACTTTTACATGGTTTAAAATAACTCTTAAATAGAATACGTGTTTACACAGTATTGATATGGCTAGCAGGAAGTATATTTTTGACGTGAAATCATGTAGCTAATGTAAGCAAAGTTAAACTTTAAGCACCACTAACTACAAATCATTGGTTGACCTTGAACGCATCAATCACGTGAAGGAGGCATTTTTGTGTATTGAATACACATATTTATGAAAAAATTGGCGAAAAACTGTATAAAATTGTTACAGAGGATACCTTCCCCTTATAGGTGATAAAGATAGCTCTCAGTTTTAGGTTGGAGTATCAACTGAGTATAATTCCATTGTGAGTAAAATTTATTTTGACAGAGCCTCATATTGTTATGCAGTAATATTTACTGAGCAATAAGTGGGGGTCAAAAAGTGGTCATCAGTAAATATTACTGTATAAAATTGTGAGACTTTATCAGAATAAATTTTACTCACAATGGAATTATTCTGTACCTCCACAGTGCACAAGTTTTATTCTTATATCAACAGAGTAATTTAACCACATTCTATGCATGTAATTATTTAGGTCTTCTAACCCTAACAATAACACTAATCTTACGTGAAAGTATCTCTAAACTATCTGTAATCTAACTCGAACCAACGCTGATGTCAACTTAACATTAACTTGTCCTTGGCTTAAGGGGTAAATTAATCTTTCCGAAACTTAGCTGAAACTTGCCAGATATCCAATTTAAAAACATAACACTTCGATTAGCATATTTTATTGGTTTTTTTTCTTCACGTTCCCCAGTGGAACATAGGGCTTCAAGCTAGAGGCTTGAAGTTTCTGTAGCAGTGTTTATTTTACAGGATGGGCTTGCTAGCCTCATGCCCAACCTTTCCTCTTCACCAGTATTACTTCTGGCTTAGCGAGGTAAAGGAGTGCGTCGGCCGGGGACCGAACCCCGGACCATGTGCATGGTCGGCGCGCGTCCTAACCGCTATGCCACCGACGCACTATTTTATTGATGATGACAACATAATTTGCCAGGTTTCACTAACTTGCTCAGTGAGCGTTTCAAGTTCATTGGTGCGGTCACACTCCATTGGTGCTTAAAGTTTAACTTGGCCCTAATGTATTAAGATAAATATGAGAGTAAAATACTGATTAGTTAACCAAGAGCATTGTTTTTCACCACTTCTTCAGGTTCTACAATTATTTGTCCATATTATTTAAGCAATAATTGTTAATTACAACAATAAAGGTTTTTTATAGAGCATTGAATTCATCCAATTAGAGAACCCGGAAGCGTTATAATAGACAGGTGAGTAAAGTGTTACTAGACTACAGTTGGAAACATGTGCAAACTGAATTTCAGATGTCACAGAGTGTTTCGTTCACAATGGATGATCATCAGTTACTATCAGTGTACACTGATGAATACTAGAGTGTAGTGTTTAAAATGAATTCTCTTCAGTTTCAATGTAAATTTCCTTAAGTAATATGGGCATATATAATTGTACAACCTAAAGAAAGTGTTGTTAAAAAGAATGTTATTTTCTCACCAACTGCCTCCTTTTACAAGAAAGTTGATAAAGCAAAACTTTAGAAGAGAGTTAAGGATGATCACAGTAAAACATGGCGTCACTCCTCGAGGCTTTTGAAAGTTTGTACAGCTACGTAAGGAACTGAAGATTATGTTATTGGCGTCTTCAAAACGCTAGGAATCAGTGATTTTGAGACTGTTCATAGTATGGCTCAAAATTGTTTTCACTGGCGCAGATGCATACACTCCATGTAACCCTGGTGATTTATTAAATCTTCATTATCGTTAATCGAATTAACTTTTCTGTCATACACTATCGTTTATTACAGTTTCACTGTACTTTGTTTCTCTACCTGTATGTATGCTTTTATGAAATGTGGGAATATGAACTCATACACTTTTGAGTAGAGTTCATGCAGCTGTCTTCCATAACAATAAATAAATAAATAATAATAAATAAATAACACCACCAACAGCAACAACAACAACTGACAACAATCAGCATAAATGGGAGCAACCTGAAAGAAACAACCTCCTTTACCTACCTTGGAAGCATCGTTTCAACTACAGGCGGAACTGACGAGGATATCAAAGCAAGAATCTGAAAAGCAAGACAAGCTTTCACTACTCTCAAGTTTGTGTGGAGGTCAACAACACTCAGTATCAAAAATAAGATCCGGATTTTCAACTCCAATGTGAAGTCAGTGCTACTTACCATACGGATCAGAGACTTGCACTGCGCGTCATAAAGATCATCTCAAACAAACTACAGACCCTCATTAACAGTTGTCTTTGCTCAATACTCAAGATCAGATGGCCGGCCAGAAAAGATCAGCAACAGGGATCTCTGGGAGCGAACCAACCCAGCAGGAACCAATTGTGAAACAAATAGGCAGGAAGAAATGGAGATGGATTGGCTGGCCATACTCTGAGGAAACCATCAAGTGACATCACTAGACAAGCCATTGCTCGAGTGGAACGCGAAAGGGAAGCGGTGAGTTGGTCGTCAGTGCAAGGGTGACTTGGAGGAGGTGATGTGAAGAGGAGACGAAAACGTGCGGGCAGACATGGAGCCAGGTGAAGACTCTGGCAGAGAACAGAACGCAATGGAGACGCACGGCTGAAGCCCTATGTTCCTCTAGGAATTAAAGGATACAATAATAATACTAATAATATTTAAGTGGAATTTTATCTCCATTGTGACGATCATGAAACATCAAAATTCACTGCACCTAAGCAGAATTACTTGATATTTCACAGAATTAGTGAATCATCAACAAGTCTTCTGTAGAACTTCGATCGTTCGCAAGTAGAATTACATAATGCATATTAAAAAGCCATATGACTATGTTGGTATGGTTTATGAGCGGGAAACTGTGCTCAAAATTTCATGCAGTCAAGAAAACTTTAACCCTATATGTTATATCAGATGTACATTCTACTAGTGTACCCATGTTCTTATCTTACATTTAGTAGCTAATTTTATTGAAATTGTCCCCAATTTGCGTAGAACATTGACTTCAGCGAAAACCAAATTTAACACTTACTTAAAAAGAAAGAAATAATTAGTAAGCACACTCGTTTTATAGGTTTTTGATTGCACTTGGAAATAATAAATGACCAGTGAACTACCTGAATCGAACGAACAGCTACGATTTAATTTAATTTCGACTTTCCTGTTGATTGATTGAACCTAATTCCTCGGCCTCAGGTTGACATGCTGGTTCTTTATGCCGAGGTTTCGATGATGTCTGGTCATGTAACTTCAAGTCAGTTGGTGGTCGGTGACTAGCGGTGGAATCAAGGATGGGCATTTCGTCTTATTTGGGACTCGTCACCTAGATGTACCTGAATTCCCCAATGAGTGAAGGTGGCCCCTTCGGGCTCAAACCCAGTATCCATAGTTTCAAAAGCCAAAGAGAAATCCACTAGATCACTTGGGCCACTTGGGACGAAATCCGCATCCTTGATTCCACTGCTAGTCACCATCCAGCAATTAACAGCTATGATGTTAAGATTTTCGCTCCTCTTACATCTGGAGTGCATCATACTACTACTTCTACTGATTGGTTCCCATTTGTGCCTTAATTTTACTAGGACTTTATGTAAACAAATATTTTTTCACCTTTCATCACAGTATCCGTCCATTTACATATTTTTATGTCTCATGCTTTGAACTGAATAAAACTTAATGAAATTAAAATGAGAAAAGATAGTGCAAATGACAAATAATATGGTCCTTTTGATTATTATTATCATTCATACATATACTTCTTGAAAGCATAATATTATCATAACCAAACCGAATTAATTAAAACATAAACAAAAATGAATTGTTTACATTATAAATCTGCACTATTAGAGATAAATAAAATATTTTAAAAAATCCAGCGGGTATCATTCAGACGGATTCCCTCTAATGTGTCAGTAAAATTATTTTTAAGCCGAAGAACGTCAAAAATAAAATCGTAGCTGGTTGGATCTACTGTGTCAGGATGAAGCACGGATGCAAATCGATGACAGTGGTTGGCTGTATCGCTATTTTACAAATTGGCACTGAGCATCGACCCAGTGACTGACTGACTGACTGACGAGCTGGTTTCGTGACCTGAAGATTCATGGGTTTGACTGCCTGTAAGGTTGTGTGCACCTACCACTGGAAGGGACTAAACTAGGAGGATGAAAGAGCTGTCCAGTGCTCCTTGGTTTTCAACGGACCTTTCGAGATACTTGATTTAGTTATTAATATCATTATTATTACGCTGAATAATTTTAATGCACACTTGTAAACTAAAGTTAACTGTTTGGCGATGGCTAGAAGCAGAATCCAAGACACGCGTTTCGTTGACTGAGTGGTCCCCGTAATATTGAGTCATATTCATATACTAAAAAGAGGCTGATTAGTTTTGTTCACATATGTCAACGGGAAATCTCAGGCATTGAGTGTCAAAACCAACCAGGATCTGGAAATCAAGACAGGTATTCATTATCCTGAAATCAATGTGGAAATCCACAGGAAAATGAACAAGATTCCAAGTTTCTATACTAACATGAAGTCAGTGTTCAGAGGACTGTCGCAGCCGTCGTCAAAAGTATTTCCAACAGCCTTGCGCAGACTTTCATCGACAGCTAACATCACTGGCTTGATAGTGAAGATTAGATTGCCTGTCGGCCACTAAGGATAAGCTACAAGAAACTCTGTCAATGCAGAGAACCAACCAAGAACTTATTGTACAACAAATGCGCAGGATGAATTTGAGATAGGCCGGAGATGCATTCAGAAAATTGTTGAGTGATTATCCAGCTTACTATTTTCTTAAATATCGGTTTCTTGATAAGCCAAATATCAGTTCATTGCCGAAGACAAAATTCAGTTCATTATGAATTCATCATTAGGAAAATTTGTTTTCATTGTGAGACAGTCCTGGCTTGACAAACTGTCATTGATCTAGGGAATGTTGATTGTAGGTGAAATGAAAATCTCAATCTCCGTCCTATTTGAACCTCACAGTCTCCGAATCACTCAACAGGTGATTTCATTTCACCTTCAATCTTCACCTTTTACAAGATAATTGTATTCATTATGGCCAACTTATATTTTGATGATCATTAATATGCATAGCTAAGTTCTCACTCACTCACTCTGCATTATCTTTTTTCTGTTCTGTTTACTCCCCATATAAGGATATTTTCATTGCGAAAAAAGCCTTATCGTATTAATACTTCTTCGTTTTTCCTAGATGAAAGTGTTAACCTTGAAAGTTTAGTGAAACCAGATCAGGTGATCATTAATTGTCCAAAAGATATGAAACCATGTTATGCATGTTTACAAAAAGGTGAGCAGAATTCAAATTAATTTGCTACTGCATTTTTCGTTGTTGTTGTTGATCATTACCAGTTTTTTTCATTGAATATCTACTTAGATTTATTTACTGATATTTTCGACTGACTAGACAATGACAACAAAGAAGTTGATACAAGCTCAAATTGCCTGACTAACTATGACTTTAAAAAATATATATTTAGAGTGAGATATTTGTAGTACACTGATATAATTTAGTCTGCATCAAAGACATGACTAAACACATCACACTGGTTGCCAGTGCCAAATCAAAAATATCCAATACAGTCCTACAGGAGGTCAATCGCGAGCCTGAATAGCTCAGTGGTAACGTCTCTGACTGCAACACTGGGTGACGCTGGCTCAGAAGGTACATAAGTTCCTTCAAGGCTGCAGGTATGCCTTGTTGATAAGTGCCAACTAGCACGAAACCTAGGTCTAAAGCTTCCTGCCGATTGCCTCCAACCATCTAATAACCACAATTCTGAGTGCATTGTGATGGTGAGCTACCTAGTGTAGTTGTGGCCTTATTGCAAACCTGACTGATAGAATTCAGTCTAAATCAAAGAAAGGACTAGACACATCACATTGGTTACTAGTGTCCAATCAAAGTACACTTCAGTATGAATCATAATGAGTTTTTGTAGTCTAAGACGAAACTGCATGATCACGTTCATTGGAGGCTGAATGCGTTGAGATTAAAATGTGCTATCTGCTGCACGATTTGCCTACAAGTTGCTTCATGTTCGTGTGAAGGGTAGTGAATGCTACTAACTCATGTGCAATAACCAACTTACTCCGATTCATCGGTGATACAGAAATAATTTCAAATGACTACTTATAAACGATTAGACAAGAATATTCTTTAAACAAGTCAGTAACCTATGTCATTCGATCTGTCATATTACAGAAGTTTTAATAATAAAAAGTAGTGATAACAGTTGTTGAATGACCATACTGCACAATGACAGCATTTTACTGGAAACCCCTGAAAACTAGATAATATTACTGATCAACTTTTAAATTAGTGGACTAGTGATAACCTGCTTGCAAGAAAAACTGAAACTTTTAGAGTCAACAACTTAAAACACTGCTAGTTGACATTGCTGAACAGTCCACCATAAGAAGTGTTATGCGCTGGGTTTTTTTCAGTGGATCTGTGATAAATGTCACCTTGTGAAGAATGAATGCATGCATAACACAATCCCCTTGTTTCAACACAAATTTTCTAATTGCTTTGCAGATAGAAACCGTGGTAAATTGGACTGCTAGGTAGAAATTCTAAGTCTTATGCTCATCAATTCAACTTAATATAAATGCCGTGGTTCCTCCTGTCAACAGATAAGGTGTCGAACTGTCTTAGTAACAGTACGACAAACCATTGAAATAAGTAACTATATGGGCAAACACAAAATTCGAGTGACCTTGAACCGACCAATCAGATCGTTCAGCATGACAAATAGATGCTTTGCAAGTTTCACTCTGGCCTTAATCATAACCTTACCTTAATCCTACCATAACCTTAATCCTGAATTACGATGAAACTTGCAACGAAAATTATGTAAAGTATCTATTTGTAATTCTGAGCGATCTGATTGGTTGGTTCAAGGTCATTTGACTTTGGTGTCTGTTCGACACTGTTGATACTAAGTTTATTCGTCAGTTACATAAATGTTTATAAATTAGAAGCCCTTTTTGTTAAGTACGCTGAATAACAATATTTGACGGCTTTAAGTCAAATTCTAAATGCAGTTGTCTTGACAAGCATGAGACAATCAGAAATGTTGACTGAATTACCAAGCTGAAGAAGAATGTGAAGTAATTTATTTATTATTATTTGTTTTATTCCTTCACATTCCGAGTGGAACATAGGGCTTCAAGTTTGAGCTTTGAAGTTTCCGTATCAGTGGTTTTATTTTCACTGGGTGAGGTTGCTAGCCTCACGCTCAACCTCCCCTGTTTACTGGCCTTACTACTGGCTTAGCGAGGTTTAGGAGTGAGTTGGCCAAAGATGGAATCCGGACCATGTGCGTGCGAGTGTTCTAACGCTGCACCACCGACACACAATATGAAATGAAAGTCTGCTTAACGATAAGAAAAAAATCTGTGCCTGGAATTAGAAATAAAACATGTCGCGTGCGTGATTTCAACTGTTGGGTTAGGGTGTTCGAATTCTGTTGCAACTTGAATTCTCTTTCTAACTGTCTTTGTCAACTCAACACATTAGATAAGTCTACCAAATTTAGATGATTCGATAGGCAGAAATGTATACTGACGGCCTGATAACATTTTAAAGGAGTTAGAAGTCCTATTCAGTCAAGTAATGATATGTATACAAAGCTAAAAATATGACAGATAAAACAGATGGTATCTGTTCAACCAATTACACTTAATCAATTACTAGTGTTGGTGTGATATGTTGAATACTATTTCAGAACAGAACATAAGGAAAGAAGGAAAGAAATCGCCAAAAGTAGACATTTCGTCAAGTGAAATATTTCTTTTCCTCGCCTTTCAAAATACAGACTTTGTGAAGTATAAAAGTAGTAGTCGAGAATTACTGTTTAAATCAAATAATCACGCTTCATCTGTATATAACAATAGAAACATCTAACAATTTCATTAATAATATATTCCACTCTCACTATAAAAGTGTGTGCCAGTGGTCTAAGGGTAGAATGTTTGGGTTCGATTTACGGCCAACGGACTACTAAACCTCACTGAGGCGGTAGTAACCTTGATAAAAAGGGAAGGTTTGGCGTGACACTGGCAACTTCACCACTTAAAAAAACAACACCACTGCTACTTTAACTTCAAAAGCTCAAGCTCGAGGCCCTATGTTCCATCAGAGATGTAAAGGAATGAAAACAGCAATATAGGCGACGTTTAAAACACATCTCAGACAAATGTTTTAGTTAGTTGTGAAGTCCGAATGGTATATAGTACTAAATGATATGAGAAGTTGTGAGTCAGATACACCAGCTAATAGGCTTCTTCACTCAGAATAAAGTGAACTAAACACTGAGAGTAGTTTCTTTCCTTTTAAACTGGATATACCATTTGGCTATTCTAATTAAATTATTCGAGGAAGTCTTATCGTTCAAAACTAACACAATTCTTACCACTTACTTAAGCAAGCTATAAAAAACACAATTAAAGTCAGCTGGTTGATAAGTATTTTGCTGAAAGTGAAAATCAACATCAGTTTTGCTTAGAAAATATAAATATTCAGATAACATGTCATATATATATATATACATGATGCAGTCAATAGTGCATAACCTATCATTTTCATTCTTACAATCTCCACAGTATTTATGATGGTAAACGGCTAAACAACCGGACACAAAAATATGTAAATATTGTGTGCGATAAGTAACTTGGAATTTGCAGTTCCCATTAATTTCTTTTACTCGACTAAAATGGTTCGTATATTGGTTGCTTTTACTTTTGAAATGATGTCGGCAGATGCCGGTGTCAGTGGAACCGCCTCTAACCACTTTGATACCGGTACATCTGGCTGATAAGTTCTAAAATAGAACAATACATTGATTTTGGTGTAATGCATAGAAACTAGTCGACAGTCTTTAAAAAGCGTAGATAAATGGTCGTTTTTTGAGATTGAGCTCATAGCAACGAAATATTTCGACTTATCTAGCCTAAAAACGTTATATTTCTGGTATCTACCTGACCGCTGGTAAAATTCTTCAAAATTAAATTTTCCAGTATGTAAGCTTTAAAAACAGAGTAGTGGAAGTAGGTATAATCTGATTACAAAACTCTTCTAATGCCTTTTTATACAGACAAAACGTTTTAGACCACCAACTGTAATCTTCCTAACACTGATCTTAGTAACTGAAAATGTTTAAGGCATTGTATGTGCCAACTTTATTTGACTATTTATCACTATTAACATTTTTAATTTAGAACTACACATGTGAACGAACAATATTGTTTTCGATTAGATCTCATCAAGCTTAACTCTAATATACCTACATAAATTCACAAATAAATCTAGTTAAATATAAACCAATCATGGTGATTTGTTAGTAGGATGATATGACTGCGCACATAAATTGTGCAATTAGTCATGATAATAATCACAATAATGATTCTATTAATAATTAAGATGAAAAAGTGGAGCGGTCTATGATAACAAGAATAGTGAATGAACAGCATGATTAAATAGACAAATGTTTAGTTTAAAGGTAGTCAGTGAAGGTTTAATAAAACACACGGTCCGATTAAGTAATGTTAGATTGTAAGGGAAGTAAAGAAGCTGTTTTAATGACCTGATAAGATTAAGAGATAATAGGAGAGGGATTGAAAATATAAACCTTAATCACTGTAGAAACTCCTTTGGAATGCATAGTTTAGGCTTAGTAGTTCGCCTCACTTATATGTAGTCGACGAATACAGAGTTCATCGGAAAGATTCGGTGGAATGCGTTGAATCACATTGAACCCTCGTTTTCTCCAGTAAATGACCACTGTCAACTAAATGTGACTGTGGATGGTTTTTGTCTGTTCTTTGTAGAATCAACATGTAAGATTTCCAGTAACACTTTGGCCAAGCTATCTAGTAGTACGCACAACATAACTGTGTGCTCAGGAGCAGTTGAAGTGATAAATATGCATAGATGTGGCAAAACTATCTAGCTCATCCTTTGTTTTAACGGTCTCTATATTTTCACGCCAGTCTTCATGCATGAAAACATAATAGCCACTCTAATTAAAGGTGACTGAAAGTCAAATTAATGCTTTGCTCACACCGATCAGGTGATAAGAGGACCCTACTTATAACTCGGTATTAAACTTACTTCAGTTACCAGGTATTTTGTCATCTCTTCAGACAATATCTTCAAGTGATTTGACTTGACTATCATAGCAACACTAGGCAACTTTATCTATTATTCGTTTAGGGAATATTATTAGTTTATTAATTAAGGATACCATAAAGAGTATCAAATACTTACTAATGTGTAAACTACGGTAGTCATGTATAGAAAGTGGTGGTTTTACTAACACCATCGTTGATTCACTGGTTTTCCTCGGGTATACATTTAAATAAGATCGTTTCATTAGCATGAGTTTTAATCAGAAGGAATATAAAGTGCGTAGGTTAGCCATCCTGTTGAATGATTCTAGTATATTTGGTATGTATGTGCTTACTAATGTGCTTGAGACTAGTTCAATGAATACTCAAAATTTTGTCTCTTTTTTGCATTTCATTGTAGATCGACATTATGTTCAAATTGGATGTAATGGTACAGTGGAAGGTTTTCTACCGTGCTTATGTGAAAAAGATCCGAACCAGTGTCCATACTGTCCATCAGGTAAGGCTGAAATTAAGTTTTGAAGGTGAAATAAAATCAGTTACAATACCAACACTGCCTATTCTATATCATCTTTTAAGTTGAGACTATTAAACACTAACCAGCTGACGTTCTATTTTACAAAATATATTTTCTGACAGGTTGGCGTACACCACAAGCTGATCCTCGCACTGAAATATGCACATGTCCTCCACAATATTCTGGTAGATCATGTGAATTTTGTGCAGATGGACATAGACGTGATCCACCCGGTGGTCTACCTACTGATCGTTGTATATTATGTACATGTAATGATCATTCAACAACTTGTGATCCTGAGACTGGTAAGTAATACAATAACGTTTTTCCAGACTCACGTGTAGAATCCATTTTCATTAAGACTATTGTGTAACTATTTCCTATGGTTTCTACATCAGACTATATACAGTTATCAGTTATATCAGAAACTGGATTGCGTTGAAGGTTCCTAAACTAATCATGTTTATATTTCTTTGCGTAAGCTTATTATCCATGCCAATAACTCAAAGCATAGGGTATCATTGAAGCAATAAACAGTATCTAGTACCTTGAAAGGAAACCTATTATCGGAAAATTTGTGTTTGACAATACAAACTACCCCGAACAATAATGCAAGTGGTATCTGTAACTGATAATAAAATCACTTTATATGTTTACAAACCTCTATATTAGAGATTCAGCCAGCATGCACGATGGAAATTACTGACATCAGATATGATATCATTACATCATGGACTATTCTTCTTCATACAGTGTTACCACATCAGAGCAAGGATAACATGAAGACAAACAACATTATCGGTGTCCATAGGAAGTCACGACTCATAGTTTAAAAATAAGAACAATGGATTCTATGGGAAAGATTTTCAACGAAGACGACACATAACAACATCTGTCCCACTGCTGTTCACTTTAAACACTGTCCTCCACAGTTTCGAACAAACTGTTGCTGTTGGTGAACACTGAATGAGCAATATATGGTTTATTTATTCGAACAGATCTCCATTTTCTTGGAAGGCGACAATGATGGCCGTGGCTTAGTCATTCACTGTTTTGCAGAAGATTGGAGAAAAACATCAGAAGTGTTATTGTGATTTTTTGCTGACATATATTCATAGACTCTGCGATGTAGTAAACCTGTAGTGTTGTTTAATTGTTGGCGAAAAAATAAACAACCCTCGAATCACCAGTCTGTCTTCTGACATTCTCATGTTGGTTACCGCACACAGTATTCTGAGTTGCAACGATTAGTCTTCTGGTGACAGCAGCACCAATTCCCGAGTCTTTTCTGATCTGGATAATTGACGGTTGCTGTGCACGAGGAGTACATAATCGGTGGGATACAGGTAGATCCAACTGACGATATCAGCATCGTGAATTCCCCTGCTAGTCCTACCAACCAAGGAACAATATTTTAAACTTGAGACATCACCGAAGACTTCCTACTACAAAATGGCACAAAAACACACACCAAATATTTTGGTTAAGTAAAATCATTCAAGAAGAAATTCAAAATAAATTCAATCAAGAACATTTATTCAATATTCTGAAATCTATATTGACAGAAGCAATTATAGTCAAAAACGCATCAGTATAAACCTACCAGTTCCGACTATCAGTGACTACGTTGATATACTTGCATCGAACTGAGAGAGAGAGAGAGAGAGAGGAACACCAAGTTGGTTGTCTCGCAAACAAAGGAGCATACTTTGATAATAAACAAAAATAGCTTGAATACCTAATATTGTACTAGAGAGCTCAAATTAACTCAACTGCCTTCAAAAGTATAAGAGTAACATTTCTACAGTCCTGCTTTGTATCACCGACTCTAGACAACCAACCAACCAACCGACCGACCGACCAACCAACCAACCACTTCAAAAGACCAACTGCCAAACAATCATTTCTTCCACTTGAATATTAACTATCGGTAACATTATTAAGTTACAAGTGTTCTGCACAGACAATACACCTAATTCTAATTACAGTCTAGGTAATCACTTTTCAGCTACACACTGAAGACTGATGATTGACAGTGGAAAAGATAGACTTGAAGTTTTCCGTATCTGATTTTACAGTTCTACGTGTCATGAATAAGAGTAGTTAGACTAGGCATTGCAATTTGACACTGGTATTACTAATGACCTCACATATTATATTATTCTTATTATTATCATTTAAAATTTACCAGTGATTATTAGCATCCAGACAGTAAAAAAATTATTGGCTAAAATAACTTTGATTTTTGTGAATACCATTATTATTACTATTATTACTGTTATTCTCTTCGCCAGAGACAAAGCCCGACTCTGTGCATAAAGGACCTTTATGTTCATATAAGTGTATGCATTTTCATGATCGAATAATATTATTAAGGTCATGTATCATGGTAACTTCCGGTCCATGCGTACACTTACTTGTACAATTATATTAATAAGGTTTTCAGTATAACTAAGAGATTTCTCTAGGAAAACTTGGCATGTATATTTTGTATTGTGTTATATATACATATATATATATATATGCATACTATAAATAATTAGTTAAATTCGGTTATAGAATAACATATTAAACGCTATACAACCATTTATCTGTGATTAAAGTTAAATCAAGTTTCAAATAGTATTCACATACACACACACAGTAAGTACATGTATGTAAAACTACGTATAAAACTAGTCATAATATCATTAAGTAGTACACCGGGTATAAACAGATTTTCGTTTTCTCTCTCCTGTGTTCAGTGTCTTAGCCAGGCGTACATTGAATGATTTTAATGTGTAATATGGCCGGCCAGTAGTGATGCATACATATATCCACGTAATATTGTGAACATTCTACGGTCAAATAAATTATTATTATTAATATTATTATTGAGCGCCATAATTCATTAGTTGGTTAGTTAGTTAGTTAGTTAGTTAGTTAGTTAATTAGTTTCATTAAGGCTATACCACAGACATTATTGTTGTTTAGGTAGCATGTGTTAAATTTATTATAAGAGTTAAGTGGATCACTGTAAAAAAACAAACCCAAGGAAACATTCAATATTTTACAATTGACAAACAAACTGATGTAGTGTCAAAGGGTATCCGGAGATTTGTTTAAATCACCGAAATGCATACAATAGATTATAAGAAAAATCAAAAAGACAGTAGAAGCGACGAAAAGTTTCTCTTCGACGAAGTCATCAACTAAGGTGCACATTCATATATATATATGGGTGAGAAAATTCGAGGAAAGTTCTGGCCCAGGGTCAAACTAACAAGAATACAAGTAGGAATTAAAAGTATAATAATGACAAAACAGACAGGAAGTTAGGATAAAAGGCGTAGTAATGCAAATGGAAAATTTTTAAAAAATAACGTAAAAGTAACAAAAATAAACAGGAAGTTTGAATAAGAAACGTAATAAGATAATCATTATTGAGGAAAAGGACTGTGCATGATAACTAAGATTAAGACAAAGGTTGCACGTATTTCTTTTGAATACATAAAGTTGGAGTGAGCTTTTGGATTGTTAGTGCTTTAGCTATTTCCAGACACCTTGATCTCGCTCCCTTTGATGGGTTTGACAAGGTCTTGTATAGGACTTCGAAAGAGTATCTTGAGTTCACCCGATGTTCCTTTACGAATCTATATGCCTATCTGCGTTCTTATTTTGCTAACCAGGCTAGATAGTGTTCCCTAGAGCGTTTTATAGGCGGATGCATAATGTTCCCAGCTTCACAAGAGGAAGTCAACTGGTATATGCATGCTGAAGTGGCTGAATACGAGAGCTTGTCTTTTATATGCTGTCTGAATAGTTTCTGGCAAGAAACTTCTGGCCATGAGGTATATTTTTCTGAGGGATTTCGAGAGCCATTGCAGAGAATTTCTGCTTTATTCTTGCTTTTTAATTTGGGATTAAGCAACGGTATCGTCTTGGAGGCGACTCAGACCAGTTCAGAAGCTCTCTTTACCTTTAGATTCTCGTCTATGAGTCTGGGTGAGAAATCATTTTCCATGTAGATTCCTCGGAGGTTTCGCCGTACTTCGTCAATACATTTTTTGGTATGCATTTTCCTGATCCTTAGTCCTTTATTATTTGATGAACAGTGTTCCTAACAGTTTGTCAGAGGCATTTTTAATTCACTACACTAAAAAAGAAAATGGGATGTAAGGTGCACATGTGGTTTAGGAGTTATGATTACAGCACTGAGACAAAAAAAGATACAAGTTTTTACATTCTATAGATCGAAATTTTCAAACATTATTAGTATATCTGAGGGCATTTACACTGTTGCACTTCAAACACACTTATTTTCTAAGAATTAAAGGACATGATAATGTTATTAGATGCTCTGAGGTAATAGGCAGGGAGATTTGTGCTTGGGTTTCGTGCTTGCTGGCACTCGTCAGCAAGGCATATTTGCAATCTTGACGGTTCTCATGTTTGCACCAACCAAAGGCCTAGACGCATGACACTGGCTACTACCTAATTTCCAGCTAAAGTATCTATAATATTCCTGGAAGTGGTCAATCGCTAGCTTGAATAGTTCACTGGTGACATCTCCGACTGCTGCATGGGGTGACTCGGGTTCGAATCTCAGAAGCGACATGAGCTCCTTCAAGACTTCAGATACGCCTTGCTGATTGACTAGTGAGTGCCAACAAACACGAAACCTAGGTGTAGACTTCCTGCCAGTTGCCTCCAACAACCTAATAACAACAATTCAGAGTGATGGTGAGCCACCTAATGGCGTGGTGGCCACATAGCAAACTTGACAGATAGAATTCAGTCTGCGCCAAACAAAGGGTTAGACTCATGACAATGGTTAATTCCTACCTAGTATCCGATCAAAGACAGGATGATGATAGGCAAGTTCTTTTAATTTGCTGTGGGTCGACTGTGGATGCTAGATGTTTTTTTTCCCATGGAAGGTCATGTCATAACGACGTTCTGAACCTCTTTACATATTTTTGCCCATGCTTAAATTAATTTCCTTGCTTTACTCAAGTCATCGAAGTTCTACGGGAATTAACATTTTGAATTTTTTACTATTCCACTATCTTCTGACCTTTCTTGGTCATCCTATATCTCATCAACTTCTAAGAAAATCTTCCGTGTGACCTACTATATTAGGAAGTTAAGGCAATCTAGAAACAATCAACCTCTACTTTTCCAGTTTATTAACTCTTGCATCTTACCTATTTTACTTTACTGTTCCCCCTTAGTCTTTCCTGGGCTAGTCAGAAAGGACTATGTCATATTGCGAGGGATATTAAAGGTTGCCATTAGGGTAAGCGACATACCGCTTAGTCGATAGACACCTGAATTCACGTGAGAAATGGTCTAAATCTCAACAACCTCTCTATTCTCAACTGTCCCGTTGCATCTCATCAGATAATTGGCCCTTTTATTCCCTCCTATATGCAATTTATGCTAAAACCATCTCAATTAACTTAGAGTTTTAGCTATTGACATTATTGTCGTCATTTTGCACTTTTTGTACATTTCTGATATTATTGTCACTACAAACAACAAAAACGCTGCAATTATCAATCCTGTTTTTCATTTTGGTTTTTGCTGTTGTCGAGTAAATTAGACGCATTATTATACCAAGTGCTGAGAATTCCACACAGTACAATAAACACTGTTTGGGAATAAAGCAAATTATTATTATTGTTATTATTATCATTATGAAAGTCTTCAGAGTTCTAGTCACACCTCTACGTATTTTTTGCATTGCTATTCATACTACTTGGTAGTAATCAAAAACTTTAAATGAAATTATGGAATGAATTCGAATTCTCACTATACATCAAGTTTGCTGTATAATACTAGAAACATTTGCGATCTAAGATCAGGTGTCCGTTACTGTGGAATAGTAGAATTTAGGGGGTGCACTCTCCTTGCTTTGGAATTGTCAGGTTGCTACACATCAAACAGTTTTCTATTATATCCTGACTACCGTTTGCAACGTGTATCTCATAATTCAAACCTCACCTTAGAATAATCTTCACACCACCGTAATAAGAGAGAACTCTCACAGCTGTGTATGAGATTAACAGCATGATTTTAACCACAGCTAAATCTGAGCTCTGATACGACACCGTATTTTTATTATTGTGCAGACGCAGAATAATTCTTAGATCTGTCACAGGGAAAAAAACTGTTGAATTTAGTTAAACGATTTTAGGACGGAATTAATACAGATTTTTAACTTGTGTTTTATATCCTTAATTGGCTTATTTACCAGTGGTTATTACAGTACTATTTTCAGAAGCTTGACGTAGAGTTTTTATTATCTAGCCAAGTCTCTTTCAGTCGCATGAAAGCAAACATTCACAAATAACATTGTAAATGTGAGGATGGTCGCTTGTGGCGTTTCGTGGTGAACTGCAAAAAAATAGCTCCAGACAACTGTTTTGTCCGCATATGAATTTCTCCAACAACAAATGTCATACTAGTTACAGCTCACTATCAAAGTTTTGACAAAATATCTCATAGTGTTGACATGCTGTACTGGTATTTCAAACTGTCCATAGCATGACAGTTAGCTTCAGGAACGCATAATCACTTAGTACAAATATTAAGCCTACTCAAAGTACCAATACAGTTAATAAGCTCTTTATTTCGTTTACTTTGATTATTCTGGTTACATTTCACCTACTTCCTGCGACAGTGATTAATTGTACATAAGGGACAAGGTGTACTGTTGAGTTAGATCCTAAATTCCAACTGAATAACTTTTTGTACTGCATCTTTACAACTTAAATCAATGAACACTTTTTCCCCTCTGTTGAGAAATTTTCAGCATTATTTAGAATTAAACACTTATATCTCGTATGATAGAGTAACAATTCATTAAGTTAATTGTTTAGTTTAATTATTTTATTTGGTAAATTATTATTATTCTAAGTGGAATATAGGGCTTCAACAGCACATCCTCATTTCATTCTATTCTCTAAAGTCGTCTTAGGCTACACGACTGGCCATAGTCTCTTATCTCCTCCTCGCACAATCTCCTCCATGTCACTGTTGAACTCACGCCCGACTCAGTGTTTCCCAGTCAGGTCCCACTCAAGTGATGGTCTGATGTGCAATTTCACTCAGCGGTGTCATCAACGAGTGTTTGACCCACCTCCATTTTCTTGGGAATATTTCTTGAGGAATAGGTTCTTGCTTGGTTCATTCCAGCAATTCCCTATTGCTTACCCTTTTGGGTCATTGGGTCTTCAGTATGGAGGGAAGGCAGCTGTTGATGATTGTCTACAGCCTACTGAAAATGCCTTTCGTGACACGACACGTCTTTGAACCGTATAGAAGGACTGATTTTTCATTAGTGCTGAAAATCTGAATATTGTTCTTTACTTTGATTGTAAGAGATGTCTAGATTGACTCCAGAGTGATGGACATCTACTTCACTTTTTCGATACTAAATTTGACATCCTGATCTGCGCCACTGCCTGTAGTTCTTATGATGCTGCCTGGATAAGTGGACGAAGTAACCTCTTTCAAATTTATTCCGTTCATAGTGATTGGTTGTTTTTGTTGTTGTTGTTGTTGTGATGGTCGTTAGTTAGTTATCCCCATCACCTCTGTTTTCACTATGTTCACTTGAAGTTATGTCTTCACCGCAAGCCTCTTCTGCCAACTTGTCTGCTTTCGCCTGTAAATCTTAGAGTTTATGTGACATTAGATATAGGTCATCCACGAAGTCTAGATCTTCTAGTGTCTTCTTGTCAGTCCAGTGTATTCCTGCCTTCTCGCCCCTCACAGCCTTCTGCATGATCCAACCCACAACAATTAGGAAGAGTAGGCAGCCTTGCCTTACTCCTATACACACTTCAAAGGCTTCGGTTAGTTTTCCGTTGTGGATCAGTTGGTAATGATATTTATTTATGGGTGGAGAAAGCAAACTATGACAATAATAACTATTATTGTTGTTTATATTATTATTATTATTATTATTATTATTATTATTATTGTGACATTGTATATATTTAGTTAGGCTTCAAAGAGAAGTTTACATTTTGACAAATATTCACACTATCCAAAACCCTTTTTAACGCTTGTTTTAAGTGGACTAGATGAAATTAAACACACATACAGTTAAGAATTACTCACAAGAACAATGGTAACGAATCTGATTATCATTATTATTATTATCACTATTATTACGTGAATTGGTCATTTGAATGATAGATAGTAGGTAATACAGCAGGCTGCCAAGTATCTAATGCCAGTTAAACACTACCGATTAGGACTTTATTTGATATAACAAATGACACTATACTGCGGCATCTTGTGCTTTAATCTTAAAATGTTGTTATGTGTAGATGTGGACATGTGTAGATTTGCTAACCTGGATTGTTAAGTGTATTACTGTCGTGATTGTTATTGTAAACATTCTCTTTGAACTGTGATAATAAGTACTACCCAGTGAACTTGGATATATTTAATGTTTACATTTTTTGTTGTATACTTTAACTTATTAGGTCAATGTGACTGTCAGCATAATACTGGTGGCTTGTTCTGTGATCGATGTGCTGATGGTTATTATGGTGATTCATTTGCTCCAGTCGGTTCACCTGAAGCCTGTAAACCGTGTCCTTGTCCTCCAGAGGCTAAATGTGAACAAGTCTATTGGCCTGATCGTTCAATCAAAGTTGTCTGTAAGGACTGTCCGAACAACAGATCCGGTAGGTATATCTATACGTATATGTATGTATGCATACATCGTTGTTATATAATATTATCAACGGGATAATATAATGATTTTCAAAGTTATAGTCTTGATTCATTTCGACACATATATTTACCAAATTCTGTTTTGAGGTACATATTATTTGTCAGAAATAAAAAATATTTTTGTAGAGGTCTATACTGCAGGCGCATAAAATACACCAGGCCTAGTGGAGTGTTTGCTGACAAAATTTCAACAAGGATACAGAAGGCTTGTTTTGAATTTACTAACTCGCATCATGTTTTGGTGAAGTTGTGATGAATTTCTACCAGTCAAAGGATAAATGTAATGTTTACCGGCTTACTCTGTCCTTTTTTTCAGCCTATGAGACGTGTTCGTTGGAGTTAGAAAACATGAAATAGCTGTCCATTTCCAATCTCCCGTATTAATTGGTATAATATAATTAGTGAAAATGAGTTCAAGTGTCTTATTAGGGGAAAAAGAACTTTAATTGCTGAGTTTGTGAAGCTCTATCGATTGTGATGACTAAGAAATGTGTGTCACGCATACTCAGCCAGTGACTTCCGCTACAGGGAAGTTAGCTGATATATGAATAATTTCGGTAAGAGTTAAGAGTGGTTAGATCGAAGTAAGACGCCAATCCGTCAAATCTTAGGATGTTGGTTTGAAGCATATATAGGTAGGCCCTTAATACCCAACTGGGGTTTTCAAGAGAGTAACAACTTCCTTGAAGAATATTGATGAAATACATCAAAATCCTTTGCACTGATTCAGATACATTCACTCTTTGTGACCTTCCAGACTCTGAAAACTCTCAGAGATCACTGGTCTGCATTCAAGAGCTTCAAAAACTACCATTGTGATGAAATGATACAAATTTAAATCTAGAAAAAAGCGTTATGATAAGCCGGTATTCAGAAATTTTTAACACCATCTCTGTAATGTTACGTTTAATCAGTTGGAGAAAAAATATGCTTCTGCTAATCTGGGGAAAATGAAGCGTTTAATTACAAAGACCATATTCTGGAATGAATATTTTTCTGAAACACTTATAACAGACCATCATATAAGTCTTAAATGCTAACACAACCCATCTGAACATTGGACACCTTGGACTGGTAAACTATTACTGATGTAGGGCATGACTGTTGGTGGTGAAATAAAAATCCTGCTTATGATGACAGCATTCCAACCAGTTGGCGTTTGAGGTTATCAAAGTGTGAACATTTTTCATTTCATGCACAACAATTTCAATAGTATATGATTCAGCCAGATGTCTCAGTTATTATAAGAATTCATTTCACACACTGGTTTGCTATTTGCAAACAAAACGTAGAACATGTATTTCATATTTATTCGCTAAACATACTTCTCACAACCGATTATTCTTGACGTGATGTCATATAGAAAAAAATAAAATAATGACTAACAAATTCTTCACGATTCTACTTATCTATCTATCTATCTATCTATCTATCTATCTATCTATCTATCTATCTATCTATCTATCTATCTATCTATCTATCTATCTATCTATCTATCTATCTATCTATCTATCTATCTATCTATCTATCTATCTATCTATCTATCTATCTATCTATCTATCTATCTATCTATCTATCTATCTATCTATCTATCTATCTATCTATCTATCTATCTATCTATCTATCTATCTATCTATCTATCTATCTATCTATCTATCTATCTATCTATCTATCTATCTATCTATCTATCTATCTATCTATCTATCTATCTATCTATCTATCTATCTATCTAATCTATCTATCTAATCTATCTATCTATCTATCTATCTATCTATCTATCTATCTATCTATCTATCTATCTATCTATCTATCTATCTATCTATCTATCTAATCTATCTATCTAATCTATCTATCTATCTATCTATCTATCTATCTATCTATCTATCTATCTAATCTATCTATCTAATCTATCTATCTATCTATCTATCTATCTAATCTATCTATCTAATCTATCTATCTATCTATCTATCTATCTATCTATCTAACTAACTAACTAATTAATTAACCTTTTATTGGGAAATTCCTTAACACAATTCATACTGGATTAATACTTTTAAAGACAAATAGAATAGATCAGATTATTATTATTATTGTTATTAGGACATAAATGTTATGTTGCTTTTACAACGGTAAAAAATATGACAAAAAACACTTCGAACCTATGATGCTAACATTATATGGGAATCTTTAAACGCACTCAAACACATACATACACGCTGAGAAAAAACATGAGAATACTTCAATATTGTTCATTCAAGTAGAAAAGAAATTCAGACAACCTTGAGAAGTAATTCACATGTGATTGATTTATAGAGTAATCTAAGAGAAAAAGTAGAATAGAGAAAACACAAAAGAAATTTACAAGTACTCCTGCAATAATACTTTTGTATTATTATTATTATTACATGCAGTCTACAAAACTTCGATGAAGTAACTTCAGTTCACCATTCAATTCATCCTAGATGAGAATTCACTAAATGTTCTCAATGAAGAGGTAAAAACATCCACACACACACACGCACACCATCTTGTTATTTCATTCTATCAGGTTTCTTTTATGTCTACTTAGGTACCAATCTTTAGCACCCCAGTGATATTTTTTGTGAATGTCTACAACTTACTGGCAGTTGTAACTGTAACCCGCACACCATATTGAGAAACTTTTTCACCACTGCTGAAATACCAGACGGACAGAGTTTTTATTCAGCACTTACTTCAGCAGTCTGCTCCGTCCTCCTTTATGGCTGTGAGTGAGACATGGCCATTGAAAGCGGAAGACATGAAACGATTAGCTGTCTTCGATCATAGGTGTCTGCATTCTATCTCCCGCGTGAAGTGGTACAATAAGATGAGCAATATTGAGGTTAGGCCTCGAGTGCTAGGTAAAGAGGGGAAATCAGTCGATGAGGCTGTGAAATTACATCGACTGAGATGGTTAGGACATGTGCTACGTATGCCTAGTCATCGCCTTCCTCGACAATGGGCAATGTTAGCTGATATAGGGTCAGGCTGGAAAAGAGCTAGCGGCGGTCGAACCGAAACATGGCACCAGTCAATGAAATCTACAACAGTTAATCTAAGCCATGTAGGAAGGTGTAGACTTGCTGGTTGGGGTCCTCGGGACGGTAAAAACTAATGGTTGGAAATAATTGGTGACATGGCTCAAAATCGTTCTCAATAGCTGGCGCAGATGCATCCACTTCTTGTGACTTATGGTTTCCAATAAAACTGATTTGTTCTTCGTTATTACTATTCCTTTGTCTCACACCTCTTTACTGACTATATTATGCATTTCTCCTACTTTCTTCTCTTGCTTTGTGTGCTACAAGGAGGCAGTGTGGCGACTTGAACTGCCGCACATATGTGCAAAGTTCTATGTCGAAAACAGACAGACAGACTTACTTCACCAGATGTTCAGAAAATTCTGTCCTGTTGTCGGAAAAATACAGTAACATAATGTTTCACATTCAAGTAACTTTGAAGTATTTGAAACCAGTTCGATTTAAATAGTTTATGACAGTGAGACGGAAATGGTTTGTCTACTGAACCTGCCTTATACACCCCATAAATGTGGTTCATTTGTTAAAGTGAAACCGAAAACAACAACTGGCCATGTAGTCTTTCCTTACGTCTGCATTCTTTATTACTCTTCCGTTGCTCAGAAAATTCTATGCATCATAAAGAATCTATAGTGAAGTATTTTGTAATACAGTCATCATACAATTATGAAAAGTGAAAAGATTAACCAGGGGCTGAAGCGTTTTCTTATGTGAACTAAAATTAATTTAAACTGTACACACACTGAAAGATTCCTCCTGATTCAAATTTACTTTTTATTGACATATTTTCAAATAATAGAGAAGATTTGTAGCTCAGGTGGATGGTTTTGATTTAGATGTGTTCTCTGACTTATACTGAATCAAGTTTATTCCACAAGACAACTTACGCTGAAGATGTCTTCTAAAAGGAGAACGAAAGCTCCTCAATTAAATCAATCAGCTCAGAGAACACAACTAAATTAAACATCACATATTTTCGTCAAAACACTAAAATGAAGTATTTTGATGATACCATCAATCTACTCGTGAGTAGTATTAATCATTAAACAAAATATTCACTGAGTCCTCAAAATTGAGGTTCTAATATCTCCGAAGTTAGGTTACCTGAATCATCTAACTGACTAAGTTACCATTCATGTAATGAACTCTTAAACCTACATCTTTAGTTTTTGCTACAGAATGAGAGCATCCAGGAGATAGAAAAGTCTAGAGGGCAATATTATACTCATGTATATTATTCCGACTCTGCTCAATAAGGTGTACCCTCAAACGGCAAACTCTTCTGGGTTGAATGCATGTCTCTCATGAAATCTATGTGAAACAGATATTTCTGCCTAGCACCTGGAATGCTTAGTCATATAGGAAGATCGTTTCACCTGCTGCTTACTCATTCTTGACATTAGATTTCTCGAATTAATACACTTCTGCAATCATTGGCGAGTAGTTTATGTGTTAACGTAACACTGAAATTTTATATTTACTTTAATATTTCTAAAGAAAGCGCTTACTATCAAATTATTGCTTGTAATAATTTTACTTCATTCTAGGTGTTCGTTGTGAACGTTGTGCTGAAAACTTCTACGGTGATCCAATGAAGGGTATTCCATGCAAACCATGTGACTGTTCTAATAATGTGGACCCTAGAGAATTTGGAAATTGTGATGAGTGAGTAAACTAAAATAAGTTGCTTAAATTACAAGAAATAAAATTCTATCATCTGCAAACTTTTTATTTGAAAACTTTTAATTTATTAAACTAAACAAATCAACCCATTTTGTGTCTTCATTAGTGCAAAACTTCTTTAAGAATCCCTTTTTTTCAAGTTGTCTAAAGTAGAATAAAATTAATATGAGGAGTGAAAACGCTTAGCAGAAAAAGCTATACAGCATACAACACTCATGAGCATAAGTACCTGAAAGCGAAGTAAATCCACCACTAACAGAGCTAATCATCATCTTGGACAATAATGAGATGAACACTGAATGGAAGTGTCACCTGTTAGGAATGAGTCATGTCAACAGTTCACCTGAACTGACTTCGATCAATAAGTCGTATCTTTCAAACTTGTTGCAACGGAATGTTAAAGATTTTGTGGTTGTTGTCTATCTTGGCTACATTGAGCCTGTAGACAGCTGATTACTTGAGAATATTTCCAACACTGAGATAGACATAAAAGTCGAAATTAACTGAGACAACATCAACTTTATGTAAAACTATATTTTTAAAGTCTCAGCTAAACTGAAATGGGTAATTACAACGTTTATTATTCAGCAAACTGCTCCGAACTCATTCTTACTTGCATTCAAACATAAGAGAATAGCAAAATAAACATACCTGATACTGAAAATATTATATTTTGCAAGCCTTCGAAACTGAAATAGGGACACCAAGTTGGACACAGATGCTCTGATCATGACTATCGCTGGACCACGCCAACAAAATTATGCGGTAGCTAACTGTTTCCCCAGCCCGCACTGCTCACGCGAAAATACACACAACGACATCAGCTGAAAAGTATATTTTACATAATAATTTAAGATTTAAAATGTCGCCAAGGCTATGTCATTTAATCTGTAATTATGATCAATAAAATAATGTGTGTTATTTTATTTGGGCACAATTCTGATTGGTTTATTCCCTGACTCGACATCGATCACCATGTCAGAAACCCTATTTTAGAAGATAAGCCTGTATTATCTATGATGAAAAAGAAAAAAGATGTATTAATATAAAGCATTCGATTTTAACCAGAAAGTTATAAATTAAAAAGATGCTAGAATGCAATTTCTAAACTAGTTACCCGAAGCTTATTGAAGCAATACTTTGTTTCACATCTATCAATTGTTCTTCACAATTGTAGACTACTTTTAGTCTGCCAACCACACTTATGTGTCCGATTATATGCACTTATAGTGATCGACAAATAAAAAAAAATAAAAAATTATGATGTGCTTACTTATTTGTCAAATTAGGTAGATATTTTCAGTAGACAGATTTATGGGAAATCAATTTGCTTCCATCTGATTTTATTACAACCTGGGAGAACATTCAAAAGTTTGAATTAGCAACTTTTGAAAAATTCAGAACTAATTCTAATTTCACTGTATGTATGATCTCACAGTTAAGATATCACCTTGTATTCGATGTGGTGGAAGTCAATGATTGAAGTTTTGTTAATTCTTTTTTCAGTTCACATCAAACTAAGAATTTTTTTTACAGTGCTTCTCTAGTACACAGCTAAGCGAGGAATCGTAAACTGGTTGATTTTAACAAATATGGGAAATACATTTGTTTCCCAACTTTTCTTTTTTTTTACTAATTACTTCACACAACTATTTTTAAAAATTTGTCTGAAACATAAATTTACTTTTCAGGAAAACTGGTGAATGTCTCAAGTGTTTATTCGGTACAACTGGTCGACATTGTGAGAAGTGTTTACCAGGTTATCGTCGTAACTTGAAACCATTGAATGAAAGTGATGTATTCGATTTAATCCCTGCACGTGGTTGTAGTCCGTGTCAATGTAATCCAATCGGCACGGTAGCTAATTATGGTCCTGAAGGTGTTGGTGTCTGTGATCCTGAAACTGGTCAATGTCCGTGTAAACCTGGTGTCGGTGGATTAAACTGTGATAAATGTTATGATGGATTTTACGGATTTCATACAGGACAAGTTAGTTCATCTTATAATTTTTTGAAAATGCCGTTTAAAAATTTAGAAGATTGATTAATGAACAAGGAATATTCTTCTCGATAAACTCATCATCAGGTTCTACTTTTACTAGACAGTAATGATTAAGGGAATGTTCTTATCAACAACATTATTGCTGTTTTAAATAACACTGAATCAATAGTATCGATAAGTGATTACAGTTCAAAAGCATCAGTAAAAGATAACATGAATTAACATAACACTAAATTGAATATATCAAATAAGTTTAGGAAATTAACAGAGAGGACCAGTTAAGTTAAAAGTAGCTACCCTGAAAGGTGCATCATGAAATACACGACCAATAGAGTAGAAAAACATTCTTCTGTATCTGTTAACAAGAACTTTCTATACATACGACTGCCATTCAAAGGTGATATACCTTGTGAAATAACAACCAAAATTTTGACAAAATAGATCTACACAACCGCATGTGATTCTTTAAATTAAAAATGAAGTGCCTAGGCTAGCTACCTCTAATTGTTTCTATCAGTTCCGCTGCTCCTATGAAGCCGATTCTGTTGGCTGCTACTCTGAGAACTTAATTTATCGTTCTCGGGGACATCTACCAGCATGGTGAAATAAATGGTGTTGTTAAAGCCGTCAACAGTCCTACATTTGGCCACCTCGTTCAAACAGGCCACAAAGAGTCTTTCTCTGTCATCTTTAAGGTACCGAATAAGTTACCAAAGGTGTCTAGATATCAAACACTCAGAACAGCAGAGGCCATTGCGATTAGCTTAGATCAGCTGGAGCTATGTGTGTAGAAGAAACAAGTCCAACTGATGCTTTTGAACTGTAATCACTTATTGATACTATTGATTCAGTGTAAGTTAAAACAGCAATAGTGTTGTTAATAGCAATATTCCCTTAATTGCTACTTTCACATAAGTGTAGAACCTGATGACGAAGTTATCGAGTAGAACAGTTTTTGTTCATTTTAGATTTTATAATTAGTGGAAACAATTTCTAAAATAGTTAATCACTACCAATAACAAAAGTTATCACTGTTTGCAAACTATTGAAATATAATTATACTTTATTTCATTAAATATCATATTTATTAGATGCTTTTTCATATTGTCCTTCTTTGCTAGAATTGTCTTATTCTATAACGATGATGTTGACTTTGATTCAAAAAATGAAACCAAAGTAATATCAAGCTATTTCAGCGGTTAATGAGTACTTTTCACCGTCTACTTATGTGTAATCCCTAGTAGACACTTAACAAGTAATTAAAAAATCTTTGTGTTCAAAGTGAAACTGCAACTTAGTCTTCATAATTTAGAGTCGACAGGTTTCTAAGGGAAATACTATACTGAATATTATCAAAGCTATGGAGAAAATTATTCTAATATCTTAGATTAGAACACTTAGTTGTGCATACTTGTAGTTTTAAAAGAGAAATCATTTTCATGATGATAGTGAGAGTACCAACTATGATGAAGAATAGATCTCGAAAATAAACAATCAAAAGTTCAATCTTAAAGCATCCTGATAGCGTCGACAGAGACCGAGTATTTAATTCCAATAAAATCAATGAATGATAAATTCATAAATAATAATTTCAATAAAGAACAACTAAGATATTCATTGCTCAAGAAATGGCTATTGTAGGCCTAGTGGATAACGAACGCATTAAGTGTTTGAAAAGAAAGGTGCTAGGCATGACTGTTAGTGAGAACTCCATCATTCACCAGGGTATGCAGACATCGAAATGTACATATAAAGTTTAGTTATTTCTAATAATAATGATAATAGTAATACTGGTTTTAGAGGGAAAAGAAAAGAAAGTTCAGCAAAGAAATGTTTATGTTTGATTATAGCTTGATTCCACACCGTATTTTTCGGTACAGGTATAGAATTTTCAGCATGCGATATCGGTAGCCCAAATTTTGCAGGCTGACCATAGATATCAGGTGTGCGTCGGCCGCAGATCGAACCCGGGACCATGTACATCGTCGGTGAGCGTCCTAACCACTGTGCCACCGACGCAGGGCGATTTCATTCTCAAAAGCTGTACAATCGCATTTATATGCATGTGTACATGGATACAATTATTATTTATTTAATTCCACATAGTAACGAAGGAGATAATAATTTTCAACTTCATATGAAAGTTTGAAGGTACGGAAATCGATTACAAGGGGCTTAGAGACAAGATTACATAGGATTAGAAAACAGTTACAACTGATGTAAAATTAATATTTGATAAGTGGTGAAATGATTTTAAAGGTGAATAAAAGGCGACAATTATTTTCAACTTGAAATGAATTACAAGAGGCTTGGAAACAAAACTCATACAGGGATAGAACGAATTACAAGTGTGAACGAAATGGGCATGGAAACAAATTGGAATAATAATTTTCAACTTGAAATGGAAGATAAGAGGTGTAAATACAGATTACAAGAGGCTTAGAAACAAAAATTACACAGAACTAGGATATAATTGTAAAATAGTTATTCTAAACGGATTACAAGTTTGATCAGGAGGAGCATAGAAACAAAATTAAAATAACTGATTTTATCAATGAAAAAATGGGAGGAATTGAATGAAGTCAAAGAGAGAAAAATTTACACAGAGAGAACGAAACAAAAAACTGAGGAATAAGGGAATATACCGAACTAGATCCGCAGTAGTTGTAAAGGTCGCATATGGTGAGGGCTTCTGCAATACAAACAAGTCGGAAACACACTGCCTTTTTGTTTACTTTGTAAATGACTCTGAATGATGAGTCAGTTTAGGTGCTGTGACAGGTATTGACAAGGTGTTCAGTCATGGCGCTTCTGATTGAACCAGTGCCTCCTCTTTGCAGCCATACCTATTTACCTAGCTCGGTAAGAGCAGGTGAACTGATATATGCACATTGAAGTGGTCATATGCGGAAGTACTTTAGAGTTCTTATACCTAGTCGTCCGAGCATGAAGACTCCTATAACTGCTTCTAGTTTTGACTGATGAGATAGATACAAAGAGAGAGCTGTGTATAGAGGGGATGTTCAGAGTCCGACTAGATAATATTTGTTAATTCCTTACAGGAGTCCGTGTGTCTACCTACAGCAGCATTAAAAAGTTGGTTTAGTGACACCCCACTCTCCTACTGACAGATTTTGGTACCCTCCACAGTGTAACAAAGTCTTTCTTTAGTAACCCCGGAAAGATTAAGAGTAAGCAATTAAGAAGGAGAATTAATGATACCAGATTATCCTAACTTACTTATGGAGAAATTTAAACGAAATATCTTCCTGGAAACTAACATGATGTGGGAAGACTAGGAAAGATCAGACGAAATGCTCAGTCCTAGGCATTTAAGATTGCATTTATTTTCAACTTCAGTGTCATATATGTTACTAGAGTCATGGGAATGAACCAGTTCTTTTAAGTCACGTGCGTGTCTCAAAGGGAAATTAACAACTCAACATTTGGTGTGACTTAGTTTCAGACCATTTGACAAGGACCACTGACTAGTTTTCGATAAAAGGCTATCCGTTTTGGAACAGTCTGACTGGTAATTCACCCACTGAGGATAAAATACAGATAACATATCTTCCGGTGGCAGATAAACCCATTTTCCTAGTTTCTTAATCATTTTCATATTGTCTGGTTATATATATATATATATTACTTTTATCAATAAACTGTTTCTTATGTACTTTGTCTTCATTAAGGGGTGTAAACCATGTGATTGTAATTCTGTTGGTTCAGTGAAAGAATCTTGTGATGATCGTACTGGTCAGTGTGAATGTCGACCAAATGTAATTGGACGTCAGTGTGATAAATGTCAACCGGCACATTTCAATATGACTAGTGTAGAAGGTTGTCAGTCATGTAACTGTCATGCTTATGGAGCTGAAAGCAGTCAGTGCGATAAACATGGTCAGTGTATTTGTAAGCCATTCGCTGTTGGACCGAAATGTGATCAATGTCAGGTGAGAATAAAAATTTTTTTAAACACAACTAAGTAATGCTTTTAGTAGGAGGTTTAGTTGGGTAATAATATTCGCTAGAGGGAGATTGGAAACCCAGTTATATTTTTTATCTGGACAGCCATTTTATCCTAGTTTGGTAAACCCTGCTAACCTCGCCGGAAAATGAGTCGAATAATCCATCTAGTCCCAAGATGATTACACTACCACTTTACGACTGTAGTAATCAGAGTTTATTGGTCAGTCAGCGTTTGTCACTTTCCCCAAATTCTCGAAAGTATTTTCTCTCCAATACAAAGAAAATCCCCATTTAAACACTTAGAATGCAAAAGGATTGAGTGAAGAAATATTTACTTTACAATTGGATCCTCATCTCTGGCTATACTCTAATATATATGCAGCATTTTTAATAAAATACAAAACAATTTCACAAATTTAGTAGTGATAAGTTTGTTAACAATAATTATTCAATGTCAATATTTCAGGGGGATGGTAATTCACAATTAAAGGATAAAAACAATCACAACAAGGGGATTGCATAATGCATAATTTTGGAATAAATAAAGAGTAATTAAAGAATCACCGAGTGTCCAAGTTGATTATGCAGTTAGCAAACAAATAAGTACAGCTTATGTTGTAAGCGAAAAGTCTTGAGTTAGAAGCCCCACCTTGGTGAATGCGTACTGCCTATGAGTCCCAAACTAGGGCGAAGCAACTGTCCAGTACTGCCTATTAGTTTTCAGTGGTTCTCTAACCGATATCAATCCGTGATCATAACTGATGGATGAAGGAGTCAAAAAAATAACAAAATAATTTCAACAATGATTACTTGTAAATACAGACGAAATAGTCGGAAATATTAGGATAATTTGGACCTGTGGTAATTTGTAAAAGGCTTAGAGATAGAGCGAAACTGTCAGATTTTTACATTCATCTAGCTATGGCCAAAGTGAGGAAAGTGGCTGGACGAATCTCTTCTGAACAAACAGGTTTAGCGTCTTCAGGTGGATTCCAATGGCTTCAGCCGTATGTAGAAGACGAACTCGGAGTTATTATTAACAAACTTATCGCCATTAGACTGATTAAATTGTCATGTACTGTATTAAAAATGATATATATATATTAGGGCAGAACCAGATATAAGTATGTAATTGAAAGTTAAATATTCCTTCACTCAATCCTCTTTTTTTCTCCTATAATATTTTTTTCTCCCCTTGCGCTCCGAGTGGGACATAGGAGGCTTCAAACTTGAGCTTTGAAGTTTCCATACCAGTGGTTTTATTTATACGGAGTAGGGTTCTTGGCCTCACACTCAACCTTCCCTCTTTACTGGACTTACTCCCGGAGTTTCGGAGTGCGTCGGCCGGTGACTGAACCTCGAACCACATGATTGGTTGGCGGGCATTCTACCACTACGCCACCAAAGCACTTCAATAAGGATACTTGTCTTAAAAGATATTTTTCATATTTCGAATTGTAGACTTTTATTAAGTTCTGTATCTAACCTTAATTTTTCAATTACCCATTTTCTTGACAAGACAAAAAGAGTAATAGGGTTTAACATTACCACATGTAATGTATTGGTACAACAGAAATCGAATTTATCACACGTACTTACATAAAAAGTAAGAGAGTACAAATATCAAACCCGAAATCATGAGGAAGTTGCGATGTTAATTTAGGCGTCATAAGCAATACATTTAGTGGAGTAACAAGTAATTTTTGACCGCTTAAAATAGGTTGGACCCAAACATGTTTAATGTATGAGATTAAATAAATTCTGATGTCAACTTTCTCAGTCGTTGTTGCAATGTGCTTCGTGAAGGATAGAGATGAGCATCCATTTTGAGAGTCTTGATGGCATCTATTACTAATATCCATTCTTTAAGTTCCAAGTGGAATACAAGGCCTAAGGAGCACATCTCTACTGATCTCAGTTCTCTGTTATTAGTTTTAGCTTACTCCACGACTGCTAACACGCTTTCATTACCCCTTCACATGATCATCATGTCGTCCAAATTCTCTTCTCTCATTCGGATTCTATCGAAGAGACTTGGGGTATATTTGTAAGTCAACAGATTCTTGGCTGATTTGGTGCCAGAGTTGTTTGTTGTTTATCTTTCCTGACCTTCTGATCTTCACTATCACTCAGAGATAACTGTTAGTTGAGGTGCTCAGTGTTAGATGGGAAATGCTATAGGCGACGCGTCTTCCAAGCTTCTGAACTAAAAAGACATCAGAGTTGAAGATTCTGATTTTGTTCGTCATACAAATTGTCATAGATCTCCACGACGACGCCTGTTTTACCTTATATGTCCGCTTTTTTATTCAAGCATCCACTATTAGAAAATGCATGTTTCTGTCTTGGGAAAAAAGGTAACGTGTTTCCGTGTGGTAAATTGCTGAGCTTTGCTAGTTTTCAGATTATAATATACATCCTACATACTTCCTATAGCATCGTGTTTTCTACTTAAATGACTGATGGTCTTTGAACAAGAAGTGGATGACTAAATTATTGTTTAAATTTTGCATAGGCAAAAGAAATGAAAATTTCCAGGGCAACAAATAGCCTTAGCCTCGTGATTAGACATAAATGAAGTCAGATGATATTAGCATTATTATCATATGACTGAATTTATTTATTGCGTAGGCAAATTAATTATTTTAACAATGTGTGTGTGTGTGTGAGTGTGTGTATAATCACACTCTACTTTGGAAATTATGAAACACTGAATAACAACAAGTCAAGGTAACACATCATAAGAATCATAGTGGATACTCCAGTACTTCTAACTGTCTTCAAATTATTAAAACGTATCGGTCAAGTAGAAGACAGTCTTCAAGATACTACAAGTTTGAGTAGTGGTATTAATAGTGACTATAGCGAAACATGTCTGAATTCTGTTTAAATAAGCTAAAAACGATTTAGTATGTAGCATGGAATACTTGTTTGATTTTTAAATCTCATTCCTTCAGAAAATTTTTATGCAGTCTTATACATGAATTCCTGAATTTCCGCATAGTTAGACTTCCACTACATGGAACAGATTTCTCGCGTATTTGGCTACCGACCACATGTATTATTATATGAAGGCTAGTGGTACTGCCTACTGTATTTCTGGCTGAAGTAGATTGAGATTCAATATAAGAATAGAACTTGGGCACTGTGATAGATTATAATTCTATTTTGGCGACTTTATCTAAATAAAACTTTTCTCCGTCATGGAATTAGATTGAAATTCATTGACTAAAATTCGGGTTGGACTTATGTCAGTAAACTGTATCTCAGCGAATTCGTAGATTTTCAAGAGTTGGTTTGTAAGGATTAGATTTGTTTTCACGAGTTTGCCCACAGATTTATATCAGTTACAGAACCACTGAAAACCAACATGGAGTACTATACAGCTGTTGCATCCTAGTCTGAGAATCATCGATAGTACGCACCCACCACCAGGGTTCGAACCCAGGACCTTCTGGTTACAAGGCAAGCTCGTATACTACTCAACCAATGGGAACCGATTCAGTGGCCAACCCATGAATTCCAATTTCTACCAATTCGTGATTTAGCGCGACCACAAACCAACTACAAACCAACTCTTGAGAATTAATCTGATGCTCGCTAGTTCTAGCGAGAAGTTGTGACCAATGAGCACCAACCAGTCAAGTGTGAAGATGGATTTCCCACTGATGACATTGGTTGGTGATCGTGCTAAATCACGATTTGGTAGAAGTTAGAACTCATGGGTTGGTCAATGAATCGGGTCCCAGTGGCTGAATGGTATACGAGCTCGCTTTGTAACCGGAAGGTGCTTGGTTCGAACCCTGACAGTGGGTGTGTACTGCCAATGATTCTCAAACTAGGATGAAACAGCTGTCCAATGCTCCCTGGTTTTTAATGGTTCTCTGACTGATATCAATCCGTGGTCAAACTCGCAAAAATGAATTCAAAGATAAAAAGCACAAAGACTGATTGATTATCTCTTGTATGATGTATTGCACTTCCGACCTAAGTATTTATTTTCAACGCTTGTCCCGTTCAATCCAGTGTCATTTTGTGTTTTTTCTAATATTCACTGCTAAATGTTTATAAATCAAGACTAAACGATATAATCATCCAGGATAATCAAATCAAATCAATTATTAGTTAATGGTTTCTCCTTGTACACTGATATCCACCTGACTCATTTACAGTTAAGCGACTGATGAACTGAACACAATTATCACTCTAGAAGTGTTCACAAAAGTGAATCAGCTGATGCTGTCACATCCTGAAAAAGCATGTATACAAATAGTCAAAGGGAATCCAATTACACTACAATGATCGAAACTGGATTTCAGAAAAGCAGATTCATGAATAATCCCCATCCAGACATTAGTGGAAACAAAGCACATAGTTCAGCGGAGAGGCTCTTCTCTGCTAATCCACTGTTCCCTTTAGCTGTACAGTTGCATTTGTATACAGTTTTTCTCACGAAAGACGGTAGTATCAAAAGTGACTAGTTGTCATAATCACAGTTGTTAATATTAGGCAATGAATGAGTGTACTGGAGTTACGTATTACGATGAATAATTTAATGAGTGAGTTGTAATCATGATGCACATCGAAATGAAAGTAAATATGGAATTAAATAAGAGAAAAATGACTACTGAGAATTAAAAACAATTAGTTCCCTTTAAGAATTTAGACAAAGTAATCAGAAGATGTAATCGTGTCTGAATCGTGTAATGTATTCGAACAATCTGATTACACACGGACTTATCATAGAAATATATGTGAAATTAATAAAGAGTTAAGAGGTGAGGAAATAGACTTAGGTACAGTTTAAAAGACATATTCCAGGTCAAAGTAACAATGAAGACCACTAAACCAAATAGCAGAGGTAATAGTACACCTGCTATGGTATCAAAACAAAATTTTTCACCAAAGAAGGTTTAGTGTGATAGCAAATTCGTGTATAATCCCCATCCAGGCATTAATGTAAACAAAACACGTAGATCAGCAAAGAGTCTCTTTTCGGCGGCGAATTAATTTTCTTAGCTGTACAATCGCAAATATATAAGTGTTATTTTTGTACGTATTTGTACATTGAGTTTATCAAACAAAAATACAATTGGTTATAGTTATTTTAACTAAACAGGTGAAGATTGGTAATTGGAATTACGTAATACAAAATCAGTCAAGAAAATTAGGTGTTAATGAAATTAGGGTAGTAACAAAGGTGATGAGTTGTCATGACCAGTTGTTAAAAGAAGTTATGTAATAATGTGAATACTTTGATGAGTGAGTTTTACTCAGAATGCACATAGGAACAAAGTAGATAATACGAAATTATGTAAGAGTTCTAAATGAATACAAGAATTATAAGCAATTAAAGAACAGGCAAACAAACAAACTTAAGTCATCCAAATAAAAAAAGGTTGTTACCAAGACAGTAGAAGTGGTTGAGTAATCCTCTTTTGTATGCACAGCTCCGATTTTTCTATGTGAATGACCAGAGCTTCAGCGATACAAAGAAGACAAAACCTTATTACCTTCGATACGTTATTCTTGACTCTGTAGATTACTTTGAAGGAGGCGTTTGTTGTAATGGAATGATCAGTGTTAACCAGGTGTTCAATTATCGCACTCCTTATTGCGAATTGTTTGAACACATAAAGGTGGTTTAAGCTTTCTATTTCTTAGGGCTTCCACAAATGTTTATGTCTGGGGATCATGAAGAGTGAGTACATCTACACCGCTGAGAATAACTTTGAACTATGTCATCAGCAACAATACAGTCTAGACCCGCTTTATATTGCTTCTAATCAACACTCAAAGTTAAATGAATAATACAAGACACAATAATGAAATTAAATCATAAATGTGTAAGTAAGTAATTATAATATAATCAGAAATACCCGCTGTATCCGACTGGTATATAGTACAAAGAAAAAATAAACTTCAATTGGGAAAAATTCCTATCACTTTTTCTATAAAGAATATCAATAGTTTCGAATATGTACTTAGAATAGAGGGGCGCCTTTTTTCATTTAAAGTACGTTTTGAAGTCAAAATTCTAGTTATTATCTTTACCCTAAATATATACATAGTAAGTGAAATATATGTGACATCGCTGATCTGAAACAGAATCGGCTAGGGAGACAATTTCAGCTTGCCATACACTTCTTCCATGATTATGTGATTTATAAAAAAGTGGAGTAAGTAATTCCTTCATGAGTGTAATGCATACTGAAGCTACTACCGACTGGCTGTCGTAAGGCTAATCTGCTGAAGTCTAGATGGATTATTCTGTGGGCGATTCTTTCAAATACGACACCTAGATGAATGCGGTATGTTATGCACACGTTGTCCTTAGTTTAATGAGCAATACAAATGATGTCTGGGTGAGTTGACATTTACAATTTCCTACAACTATTTATCTGAACATTTTTTTACTATCAATAACTTATTACATCTTTCTATGCATTGGTTTAATTTATAGGAGAATCATTACAACCTACAGGCTGGTTGTCTACCATGTCCAGCGTGTTACAATTTAGTGCAGGCAAGAGTTGCTAAATTATGGGGAATGCTAGAATCCGTGTTTGGACCGATTAAATCAGGACCTTCATCAACATCGAAACCAACAACAACTGCAATAGGAGCACCTCCAACATCTTTAAATGATAAGGAATTATTTGAAGAGATTAAAAGATTAAATGAAACAATTGTTACATTGTATCGGGAAATTTTGCGTTATGACGGTAAGACCCTCTTTTTTGGTATTAAGAATAAAATCAATTTATTATTAGTATTGTTCCCTTGGGTTCCGAGTGGAACATAAGGTTTCAGCAGCTGATTTCCACTTTATATTGTTGTCCAAAGTCCTTTTCATTTGGCCCCACGATTTCACATCGTCTCTCATCTCCTCCTCGCACGATTTCTGCCATGCCACACTCGAACTTACGCCGGATCCGTCATTTCCCATTTAGGATACACTCGAGCTTTTACCTGGTGCACAATGTTATCCAACAGTCTCCTCATTATTTATCCTATCCACCTCCATTTCCTCCTACATATTTGTTGGGCAGTAGGTCCTTGGTTGGTTCGTCCCCAGAGTTTCTTGTTGTCAGTTCTTTCTGGTATGATCCTCGATATGGAGTTAGTGAAGACACATACTGATAAAAGACTGAAGCAGCCCGCATGGAATGCTTCTTGTAACGCTCGCAGCATGTTTCTGACCCATATAGATGAACTGATTGACTTAATACTGGTGTTGAAAATGTAAATTTTGTTCTTTATGAAGAGGTGGAGTGGAGGAAATTTCCACATTGATTTTAGCGAGACGAAGGTCTACCTTACCTTTCCGATTTCGGTTTTGATATTCTCATCGTGCTGTCACCTGTGGTTAAGACTATCCTGTTTAGATAAGTGAAGGGAGTGACCTCTTTCAAACTGATTACGTCGGCGATTTGTGCTTGTTTTTTTTGTCGCCTCCTCTAAGTCCGCTTGAAGTCCCATCTTTGCTGCTTCTACTACTACCAACTTGTTGGTTTTCACCTGTAAATCTTCTGGTTTATGTGATATTAGACACAAGTCACCTGTGAGAAGTCCAGATCTTCTAAAGTCTCCTTGCTGGTCCGTCTTCTTGCTCCCTGTAGGAAGTCTGACGCACAATCAAGTCCACCATAATCAGTTAAATCACCGGTGATAGTAAACAGCCCTGTCTTGTGCGTGTATACACTTTTCCGTTGTGGATCACCTGACAGTCGCAAGAATTTTCTCATTTGATCTGTTTTCATTCACACTGGATTCTAGTGCGAGATTTATTAAACAAAATCCAATTTAGTTGCTTTTATTATTTTCACGTGTAAAGTTTATAATCTGATCTGAAAATATCGATCATTAACAACATTCGACTATGGGGCAAGTGATTTTGCTCAGTTAATAAACTTCATAATTAACTAGCTGTCCAAATATTTGTCTATTTGCATAACTGTATTTTTGTATAGATTCTAACATGCAAAGTTTACTCCGACTGAATATAATACTATCCATCTCTTTTATTAAACCTATAGACACATCAGTCAGAGGATTTCATTAAGGGCTAAAGAGGAATTAGAACCCATAGATATAAAATATGTGGATGTGGTAAGAGCAAAACGAACTGAAATAAATTACTGATATAAGTATAAAACTTGGGCACTCTGGTAGAGTATAACTCCATTATGGATAAGATTTTATCTTGATAAATCACACAGTATTATACAGTTATAATGATTGTGTATTTAAAATTCAGTGCAAGATTTCGTCTTATCTCAAGCAGAAATACTGCTCGTCTTTATTTCCCCTACTAACTTAACTTATGCAAAGAAATGCATGCATTCATTATCTTCCGGTTAAGTGTCAATGTAGGAAAAAGGATGAAAAATTCAAACTGCCACACATGTTCTATTTGGATAAGATCATAACACCAATTTTCCACTTTAAATTGAAGAAAGTTCTAATGATTTCTTCAGCCTACTTACAAGTAGGATATTTGATAATGTAAAAAAATGTAGCCGTCCACATTTTTAAAAGCGCATTAGAATATTTACCTCAGTCTCATAACCAATCAACAGATCATAACTAGAAATACCCTAAAGATATACAAATTAATTAGATGCATAATTGCATGTTAATTTAGAAGAGTGCAAACACTTCATCAAATTTACAAGTTAGCACTAGGAAGAAACAAACAGTATACCTACAATTTAACTTAAACATCTTTTCTGATCATGATACAAATATTAAATATGGTGATAACCAGGGATACAACGAAAGCCTAGATTAGAAAAGGAGTCGTCTCATTCACCTCCATATCATTAGCCAACTTACCCTCTAGTCATCCATCATCGCTGCACCGAATAAACCCGATGAACGAAAGCAATATTAGGAAATTCCATATTAGTTTGTTTATTAAATGTATCACACAGTGAAACAGTATTATGTGCTGGGTGACGTTTTAAAAACACAATTTATTGTTCATAATCATATCAGTTATAATCGCACGACCTCAAAACTTGAGTTTCTCTTAGAAAGTTTTACCAATCAATACCATATGAGTGACAGAAAAGAAAATAATTCTGAACCAAAAGCATTGTAGTTATCCTCTAGTGTGTGATGTTCTCTTAAGCCTACTGCTCATTCCAGCAAGGATTATTTAAGTGGTTTTTTAAGAAAAGACCTATACAGAGCAATTCTTTTATAAATCCGAGGCCTACTTTTGTAGTTCTACTTGTTATCTGCTGTTTGTCATAGTAGTCGTAGAACCCATAAAAACTGTATTGTCCCTCTTACATATACTACATGCTTATTTAGTAGAGGAAGTTTCACAATATCGGGGAATAATTTATACACCACAGAGTGGATAAATTTATTCTAAGTGTTTTTGTAATTGGTATCCACCAAAATTACAACTCAAGATTGTGTGTACTCAGCTAAAAAAGAGAAAGCTTTCGTTCTCAATGACTGTGAATCCCAGTGTGGAAAACTGAAACTCATTACGAAACCCGTAATAACAAGCGATTCCATATTCACAATTCCAACAAATAGTAACTGTAAAGCTCTCACATATTTTCCATTATTTTGCGATTGGTGACTACTTTTGACAAAATGATTTCCTTGAAAACTTACTGTGTTATTCACGAAAAGCATTCAAATGTGTTTTCTCTTATTCCAATGACTAATCCTTTCATTTAAGCAGTAAAAAATAAAACATTGTGACTGATAAGCAAATGGTTTTTTGGTGACAGAATACTCGCCTAATTAAATGCCTAGCGAATGTTGTATTCCCCACGTCTCCCGCGTAAATTATATGAATAATAAAAAATGTCGAGATTTTTCGATAAGGATGGCCTTTGTCCATGCCAAATCATGGTGGTACTGAGGCATCCATTCAAGAAGCCCGTAAAAGTAAGGCATAGGTACCACATTCAAATGACCTTGAATTAGTTAATCAGATCGCTGATCAGCATTACAAATGGATGCTGTTTATAACCTTTATTGCAAGCTTCATCCAGATTTGGTTTTTTACTTCTGTGCGGAAAATGGGCTGATAAGGAGGACTAAAACAAGCATACTTGGAGGGTTAGTTACTCCTCATAAGTGATTGGAGGCTACTGATGGTTATACATTCAGATACAATTACTGTCATAACAGGAAGTCTGTAAGAATCGGTAAGTTGTACATTATTGTGATTTTCTAGATACTTTCTTTTCGAAATCGAGACTCTGCTTTACTAAAATATTATGTATGTGCCACAGATGGCCACTGGGACGATCAGGATCTGCTACAGTTGCAGAAACAGAGAATACTAAAATGTCAGCAGTGCAGTGGTGGTATCAGGAATGTAGGGATATTGCCTCAAAAAAGATCAATGGAATTACCTGTGTACTTGGAGGAATTAATATCGTCGTTAACAGTGACGAAACAGTATCTATTAAACGAGAAATCAATCGCGGTAGGAGAATAGCAAAGCATGTTTAGGTGATGGGACTGTAATATACAAATCTTCAAAAAGGGTTAATAGAAAGCATCCCAAACAGAAGTTCCGATGTTCCAATACCAGTAATACAACGACTAGTCATTCCAGGCACTATTATTCACATAGACGAGTGGAAAGCTTATTATCAATTAACATCATTAGGCTATATTCATCAGGAAGAAAATCCTTCTTCTGAATTAGTGAATCTTTTAAGTGGAACGAATGCAAATTCTATTGAAGGATTTCGCGTCCATCTAAAAAGACATATGAGAATGGCAAATGATTTCCGAAATTATATGATATACAGCCACTATGATGAATTTTTGTATCGACATTGGTTTGATATGTTTATAAACAGTCCTATGAGAAACCGGGACCAACTGTTTACAGCATATTAGAGATATATACTCTGCATAATTCATTTCTACCTTATAAGTATACATTTTTATACAGTAAAAGCCACATTTCACATAGAAGAATGCGATCGGTTAATTCAAGGTCATTTGACTGTGTGGTGTATATTCTTTCCAAGAAGCCTATATACGAAACAATCATAGAACATTTCGATCGAAATGTATCACCGGCGAAAACAAACACAAGTAGCAACAAATAATTTAAAGTCATACTCTCTGTACAACAGGTGAATAAAGTGGATCGGTAGCCTAGTGATTATGTCTTTAGAGTTTGTCGCGATGAGTGGTTAGTCTGAGTCACAGCAGAAAAATCAGACACAACCAGATGAAGAGTTCCAACGAGAAGAGAAAACTCGCATTATGAATTCTACTCTGTCAACCACCAGCAAACTAGTAAGCTCAGTTAATGACTGTATTTACAGCAGAAATGTTTATTTTCAGAATGCATTTCTGTTATATCTCACTACAGGAATAACAGTACATCACCTACTCTAGTTGTTAATATATACTACCTAAACAGACCTATTAGGATTTATTCAAAGTAGAATAATTTTTAAATGATTTTGTTTCGAGTGTTATAAAAAGAAACATGTTCTCTTCTGGCACCAGAAGCGTTCAGCAGCCCTGCAAGTATCATTCTCTTGCTGATTCGAGAGTTGTTGAGAGTTGCTTGTTTTTCTTTCTCACGAATACATTTTCTATTTTCTTTTTTACATAATTTTATTATCCTAAAAAATTGTTTGTTGACTTAACGCTTTATCCTACTTCCGGTTGATTGACTCCTGGTTGAGTAAATTTTTCCGTTTAATATTTGAATGTTTTTCAT